TCCATTGTGTATATATGCCACGTCTTCTTTATCCATTCATCCCTTGATGGGCACTTAGCTTGTTTCCAAGGCTTGGCTATTGTGAATAATGCTGCAGTAAACATAGGGGTGCAATTATCTTTACACATTCGTGTTTTTGTGTTCATTGGATAGATACCCAGAAGTGGAACAGCTGGATCATATGCTAGTTCTATTCTTAATTTTTTGAGGAATCTCCATACTGTTTTCCATAGCGGCTGCACCAGTTTGCACTCCCACCAGCAGTGTATGAGGGTTCCCTTCTCTCCACACCCTCTCCAACACTTGCTGTTTCCTGTCTTGTTAATTATAGCCATTCTGATGGGTGTGAGGTGATATCTCATTGTAGGTTTGATTTGCATACCCCTAATAATTAGTGATGTTGGACATCTTCTCATGTGCCTGTTGGCCATCTGTATATCTTCTTTGGAAAAATGTTCAGATCCTTTGCCCATTTTTTAATTGGGTTGTTTGTTTCTTTGTTGTTGAGTTGTATGAGTTCTTTATATATTTTTAATATTAACCCCTTATCAGATATTTGGTTTGCAAATGTCTTCTCCCAGTTGTTAGGTTGTCTTTTCATTTGTGATCGTTTCCTTTGCTGTGCAGGAGCTTTTTAGTCTGATGTAGTCCCATTTGTTTATTTTTTGTTTCCCTTGCCTTGTGAGACATGGTTTTCGAAAAGATGCTGCTAAGACAGATGTCAAAGAGCCTATGTTTTCTTCTAGAAGTTTCATGGTGTCAGGTCTTACATTCAAGTCTTTAATCCATTTTGAGTTAATTTTTGTGTATGGCATAGGATAATGGTCTACTTTCATTCTTTTGCATGTAGCTGTTTAGTTTTCCCCACACCATTTATTGAAGAGACTTTCCTTTCTCCATTGTTTGTTCTTTCTCCCTTGTTGAAAATCAGCTGTCCATAGATGTTCAGGGTTATTTCTGGGCTCTCGATTCTGTTCCATTGATCTGTGTGCCTGTTTTTGTGCCAGTACCATGCCGTTTTGGTTACTATAGCTTTGTAGTATTTTTGAAATCAGGGAGTGTGATACCTCCAGCTTTGTTTTTTCTCAGGATTGGTTGGCTATTTGGAGTCTTTTGTTGTTCCATATAAATTTAAAGATTCTTTGTTCTATTTCTGTGAAAAATATCATTGGGATTTTGGTAAGGATTGCATTGAATCTGTAGATTGCTTTAGGAAGTATGGACATTTTAGTTATGCTAATTCTTCCAATTCATGAGCACAGAGTATCTTTCCATTTCTTTGTGTCATCTTCGATTTCTTTCAATGTTTTATAGTTTTCAGTGTATAGGTCTTTCTCCTCTTTGGTTAAATTTATTTGTAGGTGTTTTATTCTTTTTATTGTATTGTAAATGGGACTGTATTCATAATTCCTCTTTCTGCTATTTTCGTTGTTAGTGTATAGAAATGCAACTGGTTTTTGTATGTTGAGTTTGTATCCTGCAACTTTACTGTGTTTGTTTATTATTGCTAATATGTTTTTGGTGGATTCTTTAGGGTTTTCTATATATGAAATCCTGTCATCTGCAAATAGTGAGTTTCACTTCTTCCTTTCCACTTTACATCCCTTTTATTACTTTTCCTTGCCTGATGGCTCTGGCTAGGACTTCCAATACTATGTTAAAGAAGAGTGGTGACAGTGGGCTTCCTTGTCGGGTTCCTGTTCTTAGAGGGATAGCTTTCAGTTTTTCACTGTTGAGTATGATGTTAGCTGTGGGTTTGTCATATGGGTCCTTTATTATGTTGATGTACTTTCCTTCTATACCCATTTTATTCAGTTTTTATCATAAATGGATGTTGTATCTTGTCCAAAGCTTTCTCTGCATCTATTGAGATGATCATGTGATTTTTATTCTTCATTTTGTTGATCTGGTGTATCACGTTGATTGCCTTGAGGATGCTGAGGCATCCCTGCATCTCAGAGGGCCTGATTTTTTTTTTTTAAAGATTTTATTTTTCCTTTTTCTCTCCAAAGCCCCCGGTACATAGTTGTATATTTTTAGTTGTGGGTCCTTCTAGTTGGGGCATGTGGGATGCCACCTCAGCATGGCCTGATCAGTGGTGCCTTGTCCACGCCCAGGATCCAAACCAGCAAAACCCTGGGTTGCCAAAGCAGAGCATGTGAACATAACCACTTGGACACAGGGCTGGCCCCAGTGGCCGATTCTTGAAGCAGGTTTTCGCAGAGGGGAAGAGAGGAAGATGGCATCAGGGGTGGAGCCTGGCCACAAGATGGCTGCCGGGGCAGAGTCTGAGACAAAGGAGTCTGGGAAGACAAACATGATGGCGCCTGAGACAAAGAAGAATGGGGAGGGAAACGTCAGTTTTCAGAAGCCATTTTGCTCTCCCTCCGTTTTTCAGTTGTTTGGGCTAATTTAGACCAGGTATCTTGTAGTGAGGTGATTTTAGAGCTTTGTGTGTATCCAGAAGCCTCCAGGTACCAAAGTAAATAGACATACCATTCATTTTGCCTAACTTTAGAGCCCCGTCTTCCAATTTGGTTTAGCTCCTGTGGGGAGAGTAGGGAGGGGCTGTTCTAAAGGAAAGTCCTCTGGGGGAAAGTGGCAGTTCAGGGGGGCAGTGGCTTCTCTTGGCTGCGCTGCGATGTTTCTCATTGGCTGGGCTGTTGCCGATGCATAAGGTCATTGCAGTTCCAGGCTGTCTCTGATCTGTTTGGCCCACTTAGTTAAAAATGCGCATGTAGGGGCCCAAAGTGCTTAAACCCAGCCAGGGTCCCTGAAGGAGGGTTTCCCTCAGAACAGTTAGATGACTGGGATCCCACTTCTGAAATTTCCACCGAAAACCCAAGAAAGCTTGCTAGAGTCCTAGTCCTGATCCCCGAAGGAATCTAAAAACAAAAGCACGGTTGCTGGATTCCCAGCCCTGAATCCAAAAGGAATCTGGAAACCAAAGAAAAACACCTGGATTGTCCGCAAGCCCGAGCCCCAAAGGAGCTGTGCCTCCTTCAGAAGACAACTGGGTACTCAACCAGGACGCCGCCGTGATCCGGACAGAGACTCGAACTGGGAGGACAAAGTCCCTCTCCTGAGAGGACAAAGCCTATCTGGATCCTGAATGAAGGTGGAGAGATCAGAACACGAAGGGAGCCGAGCTGGGAGTCCAAGAGGAGACGCACCAAACCGAAAGCGGGCCACGACTCAGAGCCGTGAGCACAAGGGGCTCAGTGCGGGTACCTGACTCGATTCTGGGGGTCGCCATCTCTCAGGGGTCCCCTGCCAGCAACAGGACATATTTCCAGTACTCCTGCCTGCTGGCAAAACTGGAAGCAAAGTCCGATGTTTGTCCAGCTCGTCTAGTATTAGGACTCATCTAGTGTCTCATTTGATTGCCCCAGTGAGGTAGGTGGGAACATAGCCCAGCCCGAGAGCAGAGGCCCGGGGTGAAGCTGACCGGCTATTGTGTCCACTTGTTCCTGTGTGGCTCCCTCTCTCTCTGCCTCACTTTTCTTATCCATGCACTGGGTCTGTCGGGTTGTTCCGATGGTTAGATGAGAGAACATGTGTGTAGCGCATGGAGTTCTCATGCCAGCTGCAGGGCGTCAGATCTTTCCGGTGGGAACCTCTATCCATTAGGGTTATATGCCTGTTCCAGAGTCCCAAATAACAGTCCTTCAGCAAGTCTCCTTCAACAAGAGAGACTTGACCCCTCTCTCACATAAACACCCAGAGGTCAGAAGTCCAGGGATGTTTGGTCTCACAAAGTCCTCCAGGCTCTGGGGTCCTTCTGTTTTTGCTGACTGAAGGTCACCTCATAGTCAAGAAGGCTGCTCTCATCCCAGCCATCACATCTGCTTTCCAACCAGCAGGAAAGAGTATAGCAGGAAGAAGAAAAAGGACAAATGCACATGCATGCAAGCTATCTATTAAGGAGACTACCAGAGGCTGCTGCCCAACACTTTTATTTACATCTCACTGATGAGAACTTAGACACACAGCCACCGTCAGCTGCAGGAAGTCTGGGAAATGAACTTTTAGAGAGGTAGCCAGGTACCTAGCTAAGAGTCAAGGGTTCTCTCACAATGGGAGAAGGGGAGGATGGATACTGGAGGACTCCTGGGAGTCTCTGCCACAGGTTGGTAGCTCCCCTCCCCCCACCCCAGAGGATTAGATTAAATTCCTAGTTTAATAGGCCAGAAACTTCAGAAATGAGGTCAGCACACAGAGCAGAAGCAGGTGCAACAAGGCCTGGTGTGGCTACTCCACTCTACACCCTGGGGAAGCATGGCGCTGCCTGTGGGTGACATTCCCTGCAAGGATGGAGCCCTACCTACCTTCCCACCCTTTTATATCTCCCTCCTGGAAGGGCGCCCTCTGCTGACCCATGGCTCCCATGCAGGGGAACGTTTGCAGACTTCTCAGTTCTCAAATCAGACTCTGCACAGGCCAGTGCATATCCTTGTCTGGGGAGAAAGTCTCTGCCCTCAGCCTGGCAGTTTCCAGCAAATAGCAGGAGCTGCCGGTGGTGGCTACCTTGACAGATGAGAGAACCACGGCAGAGCCAGCTTAGGTGACTGGCCCAGAGTCAGGCAGATCCTAAGCGAGAAGCAGAGTGGGTGCCCCTCATCATCTGCCGTGCCTCTGTCCTGTGTTGCTTCCCTTCTTTTAGGGCCCCTACATCAGTGGTAACCCACAAATGCCTGGCCCTGTGCACTGCCCCTGGCTGTAGGGTTCTGCCCCCAGGTGGCCCCTGGAACTCCAGATTTTTCCTGGCTGCCTTCCGCTTTCCTCCAGGCCTGGCTCGCAGCTGCTTATGGTGAAAGCTGGATAGTTGTGTAAATGAGTGTGTTCAGGGTGCCTGGCGTGCTGCTGAGTCTTGAGGGGCTGGCTCTAGCAGGGAGAATCCCAGGCCCCTTTTGGGCAGGGGGCCCTCGGGTGAGCCTCTGAGTGCCCTGGTGGGGGCTCCGAGTGCTGACTCACGCTCCTGAGCCCATCTTCTCCTCCAGGCTCCCCAGCTGAGGCAGCAGAGCGACACCTGGGGTCTCTGGGGCAACTGGAGCCCCTGCAGCCGGACCTGCGGAGGGGGCGTCAGCTTCCGGGAGCGCCCCTGCTACTCTCAGAGGTAGGGGAGGCTGGAATGGGCCAACTTGTTAAAAGAGATGCGAGGGAGTCTGCTGGGTCCTGGCCTGGGAATCCAGCGCCAGCACCGGACCCCACGGGCAGAAGCCACCATGCAATAGATTTGTTCTGGGAGCAGCAGCGATGGAGTATTTGAAATCAAGTTATTTCCCCCATATGAACACTCTGATTTCCGCAATCTACCTCATTTTGGAGGAGCTGGAGCCATCCCTGCCTCATCTACCCCTGGGTCTCCGGCTCCTAATGCAGAGCCTGGCATGTGGCAGGTGCCGTAAATTCTTGTCGAATTAATGAATAACCTTCAACCCATAATTCCTAAACTGACACAGCCTCTTTGTCAAGTATACGTGTTTCCCATGTCAAGTGACTTGTTAAGCACCTACTGTGTGCCCTGCACTCTGACAGGTGCTGTAGAGGGGTGGGCACAAAAGAAGGGCTGATGACACCTTGCCTGTTAGCGGGTGTAGCTCACTATTCCTGAGAACCTGTGTGAGGAGGAAGAGAGGTGAGACGTTCTTCTTAGCCCCTTAGACTCATTGACTCCTTAAGTGACTGAATTACCTCCCCAGGTGGGTATTTATTGCATCTTATTTTATCTCCAGGGGCAGAATTTGGGTCTTCTCTGGAAATTTGCTTTCAGAGGCAGAGTGGCCCCAAGTTAGACTCCTGGGTAGTTAGAATTCCCAGTCTTGCTTCTCTGGGATAAACATGGGGCTCACCGTACCCACCTGAGGGGACTGATAAGGGCGGGCACCCCCTCCTCACCTTGGCCCCCCTGTGCCCACCTGCAGAAGACCCCAGGAGGGGTCAGGGGCTGCTGGGTCGCGGGGGTTCGGGTCTTCCCGGTGATCTCGTCTTGCAGGGGAGATGGGGGCTCCAGCTGCGTGGGCCCGGCCCGGAACCACCGCTCTTGCCGCACCGAGGTAAAGCCCACGGTGGGGGGCACCAGCTTCCAGGACCCACCATCCGGCTGACATCCCGCCCCGGGCGCCGCCCTCCTGTGGCTCCAGCCACCCCACCCAGGCCCCTCGGTTAGCCGGGCCTACCGGAGCCCCTTCCTGCCCCCGCACCTGCAGGGACAGCCTCTCCTCGGGCGGCCTGGAGCCCCCGCACCTGGAGCGGAGCGCACGGGAGCCCTGGGGGCCGACTCCGACTCCCGGAGCTAGGAGAGCGGGGGAGGAGGGGACCGGGACCCTGACGGGAGGGGCAGACCCCGGTGGTGGACTCCCTCCCTTGCTCTCCACCCCACAGAGCTGCCCCGAGGGCGCCCGGGACTTCCGGGCCGAGCAGTGCGCGGAGTTCGACGGCCGCGAGTTCCAGGGCCGGCGGTACCGGTGGCTGCCCTACTACCGGGGTAAGGCGCCCGGGGCCCGACGCCGCGCTCTGCTCCCCGGCTCCGCATCGTTTTGGGATCTCTTTTACACACAGATTTTTCGTCTCAATTTTTATTACCGTATTGTAGGCGCTTTGTCAGATTTTATAATATCACCAGTGCCCCCAGCAACACAACACTGGTGGTCATTTTGAGGTCTTTCCGTCCTTTTCTCCCTTTGTACACATTACAAACAAAGCCGTGTCCGTGTCTACGCCGCTCGGAGCCCCATGTGTTTCGCCGGCTCCCCGCAGCATCCCTCCTGCTGCGCAGGGTCGAGGCGGGGGGAGGGGGATTGTGTCGGTGGGGGGCGCGCGGGGGGCGGGGGGCGGGGCGCGGCTGGCGCCGGGTTTGCGCAGACGGCAGGATGCGCCACCTTGCTCCGCAGAGCGAGGGCCCTTTACTCGGGGTCTCTGGGGCCGCAGGGCAGGCCACGGGGAACTTTCAGGAGGGTGTAGGTCGTTAATTTTTAGAGCAATAAATGCAGTTCAAGGAAGAAACACTAACTTGTATGTAGTTAAGACATACAGAAGATACCTTAGTACTGCCCGAGTATTAGTTTTCCCTGCTCCCTGCAAATGACTCCTGGAAACTCTCTGGCACACCGCATTCCAAATCAATGAACTTTTATATCCTGTGTGTGCTGTGGGGTAGGGGGGATGGGTCTTGGCGGGGTGGGGTGGCCCCAGTGGGCCTTTGGCATTCATTGCTCCTCCTGGATCCCAAGGTGAGCGTATGCCGAAAATGATTGAAATATATCCATATTATAGAAAAATCAGAACACAGAGGAAAGGGTAGCAGAGGGATGCCGTGTTTGCTGTGGAGATGATTACAACACTGTTAGAACTTTGGGGCTGTTTAAACAATGTGTATATAATATTTAGATAGATATACAAGTTAAAACAAGAAAAAAATGACCTCAACCCCACCTCTTTCATGGGATCACTGCTAGCATTTCCTTCTGGCCTTTTCTACATCATTTTCTATGTTTACGTATTTGTAATTACATAGTTCCATTTTGCATTTTGTGTTATAAGCATCTTCCCATATAACTAGATAGTCTTCATAATCATTCTTAACAGCATAGTCAACATACATAATTTCTATCGATAGACAGTAATTTCCTTAAAGGGTAGAAGATTGGTAACATTCCAGCTACTATAGACAATGCCAAGACAGACCTTCTCCCTGAGATGGGGTGGGATTCTGAGCCACTTGGGGGGCTGCTGCAAGGGCTCTCTCCCAGCCACTGGATGCTTCTGGCCCCTGCCCTAGGGTAGGCTGACCCTCGCTGGGGACCTCAGCTTTCCCCTCTTGCCTGCCCCAGCCCCAAACAAGTGTGAACTGAACTGCATTCCCGAGGGGGAGAGCTTCTACTACAAACACAAGGAGGCCGTGGTAGACGGGACGCCCTGTGAGCCGGGCAAACGGGACGTCTGTGTGGAGGGCAGCTGCCGGGTGAGTTGGGCCCCCCACTTGGGGGGCTGGCTCAGGGCTTATGCAGGATGTCTCCCTGTCCTGCACCAGCAGGGCCAGTGGCTCTCAGGAGCTTGATGTCTTTTCAAGACTAGGTTCTAAGGTGCCTTACATCACAGATGCCTTATGACCCTCTTACCTTTGCCCTTGGGAAACTCTAGCCCATGATAAGGGCAACTGCCCTGGGGGGCAAGTTACAGAAACCCAACTAAAACTGACTTCAGCAAAAAAAGAAAAAAAGCCATTGAGGGCTGGGCTGGCTGGCTGGCTGCAGTGCCTGAACAATGCTGCTAGAAATGTCTCTTTGGCCTCTTGGCTCTCCTCTCCTCTGGGTCAGCCTTAGGATCAGGCAGTGTCTTCCCTGAGGTGTGAAGGTGGCCACCAGCAGCTCCATCCCAGCCTGGCAACTCCCCGGGAAAGAGCGCCCCATTCCAAGGAGTTCCAGTGACCTGGGGTTGCCTCTGACTTGGCTTGGGCTCCCCCTGGACCACCCTCTCTGAGCAAGGCGTACAACCCACTGATGTGCCCAAACCCACTGTTGGAGAGCTCTAGCCAAATTCTGGGAGAGAGGTGGCCCCCAAACGAAAATCAGGTGTTGTTGCCAGAGAAGGGGAGAAGGGTGCTGAGCAGCTAAAAGGCGGCTTGTCAGCCTCAGGCCGGGTCCAAGGTTTACTCAGGTGGATGTTTACTGTTCAACGGCTAATGAGTAGTTACCCCTCCCTGACCTGGCCAGGCCACCAGGGTTTGAGTCCTGGTGTGTCCGTGACTCCCTCTTGTCTCTCCTGTCTGTCGCCCATCTCTGCCTGGCAGGTTGTTGGCTGTGACTACAACCTAGACTCGTCCAAGCAGGAGGACAAGTGTCTGCAGTGTGGGGGTGACGGCACGACCTGCTACCCTGTCACAGGCACCTTTGAGGCCAATGACCTCAGCAGAGGTGGGTCCTCCGGGGCTCCATAGACAGTTGACACAACCGTCTGTGGCTTGTCCCTTCCCTGCCTGTCTCCTGCACTGGCTGAGTCCCCCTCATGGTGCTGAGAGGGTCTGATCTGACACTCAGGTCATGCCTCAGGGTGGAGGCCAAACCCTTTCCCAGGAGCCCATGGACCACGCTGGTTAGGACCCACTTATCCAGTCTCATCTCATACTGCTGCCACCTGGATGCCCTTCTCGGCCCTTCCCCCATTATCCCCTCCCCCTCCCAGTCACTTTGGGTGCCCCAGCCTGCCCCTCACCCTGACCTTTGTAAAGCTGTTTCCTCCTTCAGGAACACTCTTCCCCAAACAGCCCAGCCCTCCCTGTGTCCTACTGGCCTGGCCCTTCCCTGACCCCCTCTGTGCTGCCGGGCACTTAGCATCCTCAGGCAGCTCCTTCCTGTGGCTTGGGTGGTCCCAGAGCATCTCTGCCCCCTCAGGCTACAACCAGATCTTCATAGTTCCCACGGGGGCCACCAGTGTCCTCATTGAGGAGGCAGCTGCCAGCAGGAATTTCCTGGGTGAGAGCTCCGTGGGGTCCTGCGCGAGTTTGCGGCGGCGGTGGGGCGGTGGGTCCTGCCCTGGCTGCTGACCGGGGCTCCCCCGCACAGCGGTGAAGAACATCCGTGGACAGTACTACCTCAACGGGCACTGGACGGTCGAAGGTGCACGGGCCCTGCCAGTGGCCAGCACCTTCCTGCACTACGAGCGGGGCGCCGAGGGGGACCTGGCGCCTGAGCGGCTGCACGCGCGCGGTCCCACCTCAGAGCCCCTGGTCATTGAGGTGAGCGTGGTGGGTGGGAGAGGGCCTCTGAGGCCAGTAGGGGGCACCTCTGGCCCAAGGTCGGTAGGAGGGCTGTGGGGCAAAGCCGGTAGGCCCCACCAGGACCCTCCTGCACAGCTCATCAGCCAAGAGCCCAACCCTGGTGTGCGCTACGAGTACTACCTGCCCTGGGGCGCCCCCCGGCCCGGCTTCAGCTGGAGCCACGGCTCCTGGAGCGACTGCAGCGCTGAGTGTGATGGAGGTGAGGGGACCCGGGGTGGCTCGGGGCTCCAGCCCTGCGGGGGAGGTGGACAGTGGATGAGACATCTGTGCGTCATGGGGGTCACCTTGGGGAAACCCAGGGGTTGGGGAACTCCATGAAGGGCCGCTGCCTAAGCTAAGAGAAACACAGAGGGCTTCTGTGAGGCGGTGGCATCTCAGAGGAGACGGTACTCCATTGGCAGCGGAGGCCTGGCCTGGAGCCGACGACCAGGTGTCAGAGCAGGGCTCCCTCGCCCATAGATAAAACTCTGAGCCTCAGTTTCCTGAAATCATTTGAGGCTTAATCAAGATGACACGTGGGATGTGTCCAGAATGGTGCAGGGCCCAGAGGTGCCTCTGGTGAATGTTCACTGACTGGCTGCCTGTGGTGGCCGTGCCTCTGCAGGTCACCAGTCCCGCCTGGTCTTCTGCACCTTCGACAACGAGGCCTACCCTGACCACATGTGCCAGCACCAGCTGCGGCCGGCTGACCGCCGCCCCTGCAGCCCTCACCCTTGCCCGCAGACCAAGCGGTGAGGCCTTTGCCAGCCCCTCCACCCAGGGCAGGGCCCAAACTCTTGGGTGGGAAGGGAGCGGTGTCCCTAGGCTGCTTTAGGCGTTGAGCAAAGAGGTTGGGTGACCCAGGGTTCCCCACAGCTGTGGCTGGAGTGGGGAGGAGGCAGCTGTCACTGCGGGAGGCTGGGGAGGGGCCTGAGCTTGATGCCCAGGGCTACACTGTCCACCCTCGTGTGCCCACTCAGTGCCCAGAATGTCCAGGCTGGTGGCAGGAGGGTTGGGGAAGGTACTGGAGGCCCCATCTGTCTGAGCCGGTGGGGGCCTTGGCTCAGCAGATGCTGAGGCCAGGGATTGGGCCAAAGGGCCTATGGGCATCGGCAATGCCTTTGTTCATGCACAAAGGACCTCTTACCTGTACCAGCCCAGGGCGTGGTGCCTAGCTGAGGCCCAGCGTGTGTGCGGGAACAGGTAATCTGCAGGCCACAGGCTCTCTGCAGCACTGGTGCAGTCCCTCCACCCTTGTGGCCTTGGTGGCAGCTGGTCTTGCAGGCTGGTGGTGGGCCTGGCTTTGCACGGTGCCATGGCGGCTGCCCTTTCCTCGGGTCCTCTGGGCCAGGCGGTGCCACTTCACACATGGTTGAGCACAGCCCCTCTGGGAGATGCCTCCAATAAGGTCAGACCCGAGGGGAGTGGAGTCTGGCTGGGGGTAACAGGGAACCTGGTGAGAAGGAAACAGAAGGATGTAGGTGAGGACAGCAAAGCTGAGAGGGAGGCAGCCAAGCTCCGTGTTACAGGCAGCAGCACAGGATGGAGATGGCGAGCAGGGCCCAGCTGTCGGCCCTTGCGCAGAGCTCTTTGCCCCTCCGCCGGAGTTCGAGCTCTTTGACCCCCACCCGCACAGGCCCAGGTGTTCGGAGGGTGGGCTGCACTGGGGGTCCCCAGCCCGCTCCAGAGAGTGAGAGCTGGTGCCCCCTCGGGCCTGGGCTCCCGCCCCTGCTCCTGGGCCAGCCTCACAGACTCCTGCTCCCTGCCAGCTGGAAGACGGGGCCCTGGGCGCCCTGCTCAGCCTCTTGCGGAGGCGGCTCCCAGTCCCGTTCTGTCTACTGCGTCTCGTCCAGTGGGGCCGGTGTCCAGGAGGCTGCCGAGGAGGCTGCCGAGGAGGCTGAGTGCGCAGGCCTGCCTGGGAAGCCCCCTGCCACGCAGGCTTGCAATCTGCAGCGCTGTGCAGCCTGGAGTGCGGGGCCCTGGGGAGAGGTGAGCCCCTCCCGGGCGGCATGGGGCAGAGATCAGGAGCTGGGGCGTGGGCCTGGGGCTGCGGCCGGGGCTGGGAGGCTTGTCCTCTGCTGAGGGGACAGGTCCTGGGAGTAGAGTGACCTGCTAGGTCATCTTGGGAACTAGGAGCAGGTGCTTGGACTCCTGCTTCAGTGTTCCTCCTCCTCTAGGATCCCAGGCAGGGCGGGAAAGGCTTGGCTTTGGCATGAAGAAGAAGCCGGGCATGCTGTTTGGGGGCGAGGGAGGAGCAGGCACTGTCTGGGGCTGCTGGTCGCTGCTTCCACCACCTACAAGTCTTCAAGGTTGCAAATGAGCGGATGTGGAAAATGCACCTCAGCCTGGTGTCTGCAGCCATGGTGTGGCCTCAGGAGAGTGACCAGCCTCTCTGGGGCTGGGAGCTGGACATGGGCAGTGGGGTGCTATCTACCCTCCATGCCAGGCTGGTGGGCCTCCAGCTGTCAATCTGGCAGGGCTCCTCTGGGTGAGGACAAGCTCCTGCTGACAAGCCCCATCCTTACAGTGCTCTGTCAGCTGCGGTGCAGGGGTCCGGAGGCGGAGCGTCACTTGCCAGGGTGACAAGGGGTCTCTGCTCCATGCCACAGCATGCTCCTTGGAGGACCAGCCCCCACTCACTGAGCCCTGTTTGCATGACGACTGTCCCCCCATCAACGACCAGGCCTGGCACGTAGGCGCCTGGGGTCTCGTGAGTACTGGTTGCCCTCCCCACACCTGCTGCCAGTCCTGGTCCCTGGGGTCTCTGACAGGTGGGTGCACATGTCCCGTCCGTGGGTCTGACACGCGTTACCAGGGGCCTCCCACATCCCTTTTGGGTGCCCCTGCCTCGCCCCAGCCTCAGGGCCTCTCTCCCTATGCTGCGTTTCTCTCTCTCCCCTCTCCCCGCGGGCCCAGTGCTCCAAGAGTTGCAGCTCGGGCATGCGGAGGCGTCAAGTCCTCTGTACCAAGGGGCCGCCTGGCTACTGCAGGAGCCTGCAGCTGTCCAAGCCCGTGGACGTGGAGCCCTGCAACACGCAGCCCTGTCATCTTCCTCCGGGTAAGGACAGGAGGGGCAGGCCGGAGCCGGGGCCTTCCCCACCACAAACCTAGCCGGCACCTCCTGCCTGCGGGCCTTTGCCTGTGCTGCGTCAGCACCTGCACCACTCTTCTCTTGCGTCTTTGTCCACCGAAGCCTTTGCCACCTAGAGCCCAACTCTCTGCAACCTCACGAGCCAGCCCTGTTTCCCTGCTCAGAGGTAGCATCCCTTACCTGACCCCCCATGGCTCATTATAACCTCTGTCACTCTCAGGTTACTTTCTTGTGCTGCAGGGGTTGTATATGACTTGTTAGGCCTACTACCTATAAGCTTTTTGAGGGCCTGGTCCCTGACTTCCTTATTCCTGTTTATACCCCCCACATAACTTAGTTAGCATGCAGTAGGTACTCAGTAAATGTTTGTTGAATGACTGAGTGTAGAGGAGGGAGGTGGTCCAGGAAAGATTGTCCTCGCCAACTGCTTCTGCTTCTGTCTTCCCCCTTCCTCACCCTTATTCCCATTGTGAAAGAAGGTGTCCCAGGCAGGAGGAGCTGCAGGAGGAAGGGCACAGAAGCAGCACTTACTTGGTGTGAGGAGTGATATGGAGGAAGGGTGTGGGTTGGGGCTGAGCTGGGGGGGCGGGGTGGGTGAGGGGGGTGGCCCTCTGACACTGCAGAGAGGTGTGTTTGGTCCTGATGTGCTATTGATGAGGGACTATGAGCCATGATGGGGAGTGGCAGGATTCTGATGAAGGCACATGGCAGGGTGGCTAAGAACCAGTGGCCTGGAGTCACCAGCTAAACTGGGTTCAAATCTCGACTCTGTTGCTGACTGACCGTGGGACCCTGGGCAGGTGCCTCTCCTCTGATTCTGTTTGCCCATCTGTACAATGGGGTTAATAAGAGTGACTTCCAGGCTCGTGGTGAGTTGCTCGCACAGTGCCTGAACACAGTGTTCCATAAGGAGAGGGTCGGAAGTGGTGGTGGTGAGGCCGTGAGGGGGCCCTGGGGCCCCTCAGCCTGGGCCTGGCCCTCATGGTGGAACAGCAGGAGGATCCTTGGGCTCCCACGAATCCAGCTGCCTGGAGCCACTCAGTGTCCCAGGGCCTTGGACACCTTCCCAGAAGAGGTAGCCCTGAGCCTGCCCCAGAGACTAGCAGGATTCACATAAGTAGAGAGGAAGGAAATGGAAAGAGAGTTTCAGGCCAGCTGAGTTGTAAAAGAAAAAAACCTTTATTGCTATATATATATATATATTTTGTGTGTGTGTGTGAGGAAGATTGGCCCTGAGCTAACATCCGTGCCAATCCTCCTCTACTTTGTATCTGGGATGCTGCCAGAACATGGCTTGATGTGCGGTGTGTAGGTCCACGCCTGGGATCTGAACCCACAAACCCCGGGCTGCTGAAGTGGAGCGTGTGAACTTAACCACTACGCCACTGGGCCAGCCCCTATTGCTGTTTTTATAACTATAAAAATAATGTTTGTTTATTGTGGAAAATTTGGAGAAATTGGAAAAGTAGTACATAGGGAGAAACTTAAATTGCCCTTGACCCCGCCCGTTGGTGGGCTTAATCTTCAGTGTACTTCCTGTGTGCATGTGATTTTGTATCTGCTTTTTCCCCTTGATGCCACTTAGTGTGTGAACATTTTCTAGTCTCGTGATTTCTGGGGCCCCCACAGAAGTCAGGATGGGTGAGAATTTAGAATTTCGGTGGCTGCTGGTGTTTTTGGTACCATGACTGATGCCGCAGTGCATATGGCATCTGCCCAGGGGGAAGGGGTGGGGCTCCGATGAGGAGGCTCACTGAGGGGTGGGCATCCGAGTGGACACAGCAGACTCACCTCTGGGACTTCTGCTTCCTCCTCCTTCCAGATTCCAGAGCAGTGCTTGCTGTAGAAGTAGAATGCAAGCCACAAATGTCACTTAAAATTTTCTAAGAACCACATTACAAAAGTAAAAAAGAAACAAGTGCATTTATATTTAGTAATATACTTTATTAACCTAATAAAATATTTTTAACATATAATCGACGTAATTACTAATGGGATATTTTACATTGTTTTCCACAAGATTTTTTAAAAAATTAAATCTTCGAAATCCCATGTAGAGTTTATGCTTATAGCACACCTCAATCCAGATGCTAAAATTTCACCGGCATACTTGATCTATGTTTAGATTTCGTAAAATGTACACTTGAAGAAGTAGATTCACGTATGTACAGTTGTTCCAGACATACTGGAGCATTTTCCAGTGAATGAATCAAGTGGCAGTTTTTAAATTTAAAATTAATTCTAATTAAATAAAATTTAAAATGCTATTTCTTGGTCACTGTGGCCACATTTCAAGTGTTCATAGGTCTGAGGCCAGTAGGGGCCCAAGAATTGGCCATCAGCCCAGGGTGGGGATGGTGACAGGAGGTCTGTCCGGGGTGGTGCTCTTAGGGGTCTGCCAGATGCTGGAGGAACCCAGGCCTTGGGCTTTGGATTAAATTTGTGTAATAGGCCCAGGGGAGCCATTGAAAGTTTTAGAGTGAGACACCATGAAAGCTATTTAGGAGAAGAGATTTAGCACCTGCCTGAGGGTCAGACTGAAGTGGGGGCAGTTGGGAGGAGGAGGCTGGTGGGGAGCAGGCTGCAGAAATCCAAGTGCTAGAAAGAGCCAGAGAAATGAAGGGACAGGTGCGGGCCCAGCAGAGCCTGATGCTGTGCGGGAGGTGGCCTGGGGCTCTGAGTGAAGCCAGAGAAGATGGAAGGGAAGAGTCCTGGGAGGGGAAGCCAGAGGCAAGATGGACATGGCCGAAAGGTGGCCTTTCGAGGTGAAGCGACAGAGGGACAGCAGGCAGAAATTCCCAGGCTGCTGGGAACTGTGAACTCAGGGCCCCAGAGGATGTCGGGAGATGACATTTGAATCAGCCTCATCTGAGGTTTTGGCCTGGGTGGGATAGGCAGTAAAATGAAAACAGAGATTTTACTGTGTGTCTGCTGGAGTGTTCCAACCCTAAATTATTATATTTTAATATTCCTTGGGGACTGGCAAGATGTAGTCCATATGGGAATGGAATTTTCACTTATTTTTCATAACTTTATTCCATCATATAGTAATATGCTTGTTGTGAAAAATTTGAAAACCACTAACAAATAGAAGGAAGGGGACTCCCTCCCACACCCCCATGCACGAAGCACTCAGAAACTTTCACTGTGAGCATTTTGGGGTGTGTCCTGCAAATTGTCTTTTATGCAGCATAAAAAAAAAATTCCTATTGTCCTAATTTTCTCTGCTCAGCCTTTTGCATTTTTTCTCCAACATTTTTTGATGAAAAATATTTTTAATAACTTAGAGGTGGTTAAATATCATATACCATAAGATTCACTCATTCTAATGGTACAATTTATGATTTTTAGTAAGTTCACCAAGATGAACAAGATGGACAAGATGATGAAAAACTTTATATAGAAAAGTTGAAGAACTGTGTACTGAGCTGCCTGTATTCACCATCTAAATTCTACAATTGATATTTTGTTATATTTGCAGTCATTATCTGCTCTTTTTTTTTTTTTTTAAAGATTGGCACCAGAGCTAAGAACTGTTGCCAATCTTTTTTTTTTTCCTGCTTTATCTCCCCAAATCTCCCCAGTACATAGTTGCATATCCTAGTTGCAGGTCCTTCTAGTTGTGGCATGTGGGACGCCGTCTCAATGTGGCCTGACCAGCGGTGCTGTGTCTGCACCCAGGATCCGAACCAGCCAAACCCTGGGCCGCCGCAGCGGAGCGCGTGAACTTAACCACTCAGCCACGGGGCCGGCCCCTTTATATCTGACTTTTCTTTTTGCTGAAGATGTAACATTAGCATTTTCTCTGTGGTTGAAGACTCTTCTGAGAGTGGGAGGGGTGTTTTATGAAATCACGGGTACTGCTCATTTTCACCTCTGCTGTCCTGGGTTCCCCAGGCCCTGCCTGAGCAGTGGGGTGGGAGCAAATGTTGGTCAGGGCTGGCTACCACTCAGGCCCACTCTCTCCTCCTTCTGTCTGCACCCCATGCCGGCTGCCCTGGCTCCCTGCAGAAGTCCCCAGCACGCAGGACATGCACAGCAGCCCCAGGGACTCCTGGATGTCTTTGGGCCCTTGGGAGGCCCCCACCTCAGGTGAGAAGCTTGGTGAAAGCCCCCAACCCAGCGCCCCCTTGTCTTTGTGTGCTCGAGGGGGGTGCCTGGAGATGGAGGTTGAGAGTGGGGCGAGTGGTTTAGAGGGGATGGAGAGAAGGAGGTGTGATGAGAACACAGATGATGGAGAGTGAGGGGCCAGGTGGACACATCAATGTGTCATTTGTTTCCTCCTCTTTCTAGAATCGAGAAACCAGTGGTGGGCACCCCAGGAGCGACCCTCAGCCCAGGGTAACCCCAGAAGAGATCCAGACCCCCACCTCCCAGCCCTGGGCTTAGCCCCCTCCCTGCAGCCATCCCCACACCGGCAGCCCCTGCGGTCTGGCCTGGGGCCCCGTGACTGCAGACACAGCCCCTACGGGTGCTGCCCTGATGGCCACACTGCATCTCTTGGGCCAGAGTGGCAAGGCTGCCCTGGGGCCTCTTGTCAGCAGAGCAGGTAGCCGCCCAGACAGCCTCTCCCTTCTCACCAGGTCAGAGAGGGAAGGCGGGGGCTGGGGGGCTGACTGTGCACCCTCGAGGACTTGCTTCTTGCTCTCCCTGAGCCTCCTGATGTGCCGAGTGGGGGCAGAGACCCCTGCTTTCTCTACAGGAGTCAGCCTGTCAAGATGTAACCTGAGCTCTGAGAAGGCACGTGCGGTCTGATTCTAGCTCTTGGATCCAAACCAGGCTTGGGGAGCCCAGTGTAAAGGCTGGAAAAGGCTAACCAACTTTCTTCAATTCCTAACAATCCCACCCACTCCAGCCTTGGAGAGAGGGGCTGAGCCATCCAAGCTCCCCAGATGCTTTCCCTGTGGCTCTCCTCCTCTCCACAGCCTGCCCTGGACTCGTCCCAGCATGTGCCCACTCCCTCAGGGGCTGGGATGCTAAGGGCCCAGACTTTGGGGCCAGCAGCCTGGGGGTGATTCCCAGCTCAGCCACTTACCAGCTGCGTGCTGGGTGACTTGGAGCAAGTTACTTAACCTCTCTAATCTTGGCTTCCTCTGCTGAGAATTAAGAACAATGCCAGCCACTGGCTGGGATTACTCTGAGGATGAAACAAGTCACACGGTGCTTGGCACGTAGAAGATGCGTTGACACATTCTTTCTTTCGCCTTCCTTCCCAACACCTAGTTGGTGGAGGTGAAATAAGTGGTGGGCTCCTTTGACGCCCTTTTCTGCCCCATCTCCTATCTGCTGCTATTTTGTAAAAACTCCTTGGGAACCTGATATGTGGGCAGGCTCAGGTGAACTTCCCCCTCCTTGGTTTTGTGGTTGGATGTGTGACTTGATGATCTGTCAATTGTTAGGGGCACAGCTCTGATTATTGTGTTACTGTTACCCTCCCTGGTAGCTACTAAGTGGTCGGTAGAGGTAGGCAGAGACCAGGGCACTCAAAATTGTATGTGCTGCGTGCAGGGACATGCCATCTCCTACTTGGATCCTCACCTTATCAGCCCGCAGGGCAGAGCGCCTCAGAGCCTGGGTCCTGGGATGCTGGCAGCTCAGGGTTCCCAGCAGGGTGAGGCTCAGGTCCAGGTGGTGAGGGGAGGGCTGTATGATGTCTGTCTAGGTACGGGTGCTGCCCTGACGGGATGTCTGTGGCTGAGGGGCCCCATCAGGCTGGCTGTGCAAGGTCTTACGGCGGTGATGCCAGGAACAGGCTGGGGTCAAGAGCAGTGGCTTCCACAGTAAGTGTCTGGTTCACGTGAGGGGGCAGGAGTCCAGCCCCTGAACCTACTCAGTGCCACTGTGACCAGGTTCTTTGCAGCTTTGGCTTTGGAGAAGGGAAGTTCCTGAAGCCCACTGGCCTGGGCGATCCTCTTGAAGGGGGGTTCATCTGACATTCTCCTGGTCTCTGATCTCCTGGGGTTATGCCCTGTGGGCTCATAATTCTGTCCCTCCCTCTTCCTGCCATCCTTCCCCAGGGAACCCAGAGTCCCCCCAAAAGTCAGACCTATTCCCAACTTCCCAACCCTGGGCTTCCTCCCCAGGTCCCCAAGGCCCACTGGCCCCAGGCCCAGCAGAATGAGCCTAGTGAGTGCCGGGGCTCCCAGTTCGGCTGTTGCTATGACAACGTGGCCTCGGCAGCTGGCCCGCTTGGGGAAGGCTGTGTGGGCCAGCCCAGCTATGGTGAGTGGATGCCCTTACTCATCCTTTCTGTTGGGTGGGCTCTGGTCCCACTGTGCCCCCCACCCCCACCCAGAGCCAAAGACTTTCCTACTAGCTTAGTTGTTCATTTATTTGTTCCACAAATATTTATTGATCACTCTACCAGGTGTCAGGCCAGAGAACAGTGCTAGGTTGTTCTAATAGTTTGCACTTGAGGTCTCTGGCTGCTTGTGGGAGTTGGGGGAGGGTTGTAGGTGAGGATCCCATGGGGAAGGAAGGCCTATCCTGCCCCATCGGGGCTCAGCTCCTCCAGAAGCAGCGATAGTGTGGGGTGGTCAGTGCTGGGATGGGCAGGGGTGTCCCCACCCTGCCTGGGATGAGTCCTGGAGGGAGGTTATTGAGGCTGGACCACGGGGTGCATGGGTGGAGCTTCCAGGGACCATTATAGGGACGTTGAAAACCAGACTGGAGCTGGTGGTCAGGGTCTGCAGGAGGCTGGGTACCCAGTAGGGCTTTAAGCAGAAGCCATCATAGTCACGTCTGTACTGGAGGAGAGTGTGGAACAGGCTGTGCTGGGGAGGAGGGCTGTTCGAATGGGCAGGCTGGGGGCTGAAGGTGGGTTCAGAGGTTGGCACAGTGCCCTGGGAACGGGTGGGCCCCTTGGCGGGCATCTTCACAGGCCCAGGAGCTCAGGGTTGGGTCCTTATGAGCTGAGCACATCAAGGTCAAGCCTTTGGGTTGCTCTGTGCATGCACTCCAGGGGTCTGGGTCAGGGACTGGAGGGCACGAGAGAGCCAGGCCAGGGAGCTCATGGCCCTGACCTCCTGTGGGCTATTCTAGTTCTGTGGGGAGAAGTGTACAGGGCTGACTCCAGAGGCTGCTGTGGCCCCAGCCTGAGGCAGGTCTGGGCAGTGAACAGATTCTGCCCCCAGGGCTGGGTCAGGGGCCCAGGCAGGGATGTAGACATGCTCCAGAAACTGGGAAAGGCCTCACTCCTAAGTCTCTGAGGCTGAAGGAATGGTGGCTGCTTCTCAGCAGGGCTCCGTTGGGCAGTGTTTGTAGCTTTATTACTGGGCACTTTGGTGACATGCATCCTCCTTGTCCCCTCAGCATACCCCGTGCGGTGCCTCCTGCCCAGCGCCCATGGCTCCTGCACAGACTGGGCTGCCCACTGGTACTTCATTGCTTCCGTGGGCCAGTGTAACCGCTTCTGGTATGGCGGCTGCCATGGCAATGCCAATAACTTTGTCTCGGAGGAGGAGTGCATGAGCAGCTGCCGGAGGCCCCAGCTTGGGCCTCACCGACCTGAGCCTGGAGCCTCTGGCCAGAGCACCCACAGAGATGGTGGTGGCAGCAGTCCTGGAGGTCAGCAGGAAGCCAACCAGCACAGGATGGAGGCCACAGTCCAGAGAAAGCCCTTCCCTTCTGGTGGCCGCCGGTGGCAAGACAGACAGCCTGGGCAGGAGGAGGCCCACCACACCCAGGCCTTTGGAGAACGACCCTGGGGCCAGGAGCTTGGGCCCAGTGCCCCTAGGCAGGGCGGAGATGCCGGGCGGCCAGCGCCCCCCTCCCAGAGCTCCTCATACAGGTGAGGCCCACCTTCCCAGGTAGAAGAATAGGGCACCTAGGCCAGGGGCTGAGCCTGTTGGAACTCAAACTCTGAGGTCAGTCCTCCCTCCCCATCCCTAACCTTGAATCCTCCAAACAGCCCTGCCTGGAGGGCCTTGTTACCTTATTCTATGATGGGGAAGCTCAGGCTTCGGAGACATGAGACTCACTCAAGGTCAGGCGGCCAGTAGATGGTGCACCTGGATTCTCGATCAGATCTTGCCAGTGTACCCCAGGCCTGTGTAGCTGGAAAAGTTTACAGGCTTCGTGAGCTTTGGCAAGTCACCCAACTTCTCCAAGCCTCAGTTCCTTGACCTCATAGGTTTGATGTAGGTTCCATTCATTATTACTCTTGGGACTGTGCCCTATTAATGAGAGATTTGGGAAGATTTAAAAAAAAATAAGAGAAAACTTTAAATTCCAAAGGGGCCAGGTGTGTGGTTTAGCCTGCACATGAATCTGGTATGTGCTGCCTCTCCCAACCTCTTCATCCCCTGGGGTTTGTGCCTACCCTGCTTGTTGCAGGAGCAGGTTGAGGAAGCAAAGCCTGGGCTCATGGTGGGGAGGGAGGGTGGATTCCCGAGTGCCTGGGCTTCTGGAGCTCGGCCTCCATGGGACCCTTAGGCAAGTGCCTGTGACAGGATGGGCACCAATCTCTCTGGTGGGCACACTGAAGAAGGGGTGGCTCCTGGTGCTGGCACTTGCCAGTAGGGCAGATCCTCACCTTCCACCTTTCCAGGATTACCTTGGCAGGCTCGGAGCTCTCCCCGGTGCAGGTGGCCCTGGGGCAGTTGGTACGGCTCTTCTGCCCAGATGACCCCTCCCTGGATTCCCAGGCCTGGTGGCAGAAAGATGGGGGACCCATCTCCTCTGACAGGTGTGCAACAGTCCTCCTCCTGTGGCAGCCCCTCTGATCTTCCCTGGGATGGGAGGGTGTGTGTGGGGCTATGGTCCCCTCTGATAGGAGCACTGGGGGCTGACAGAGGCTGGACTCATTGTTGTCCTCAGGAGCCCAGAGCTCAAGCCCCCATCTTATCATTTAGGCACAAGCTGCAGCCTGATGGCTCCCTGGTCATCAGCCCTCTGCGGGCAGAGGATGCTGGCACCTACAGCTGTGGCGGGACCAGGCCAGGCGCTGACTCTCAGAAGATCCAGCTTCAAATCACAGGTCTCTGTCCCACCCCACCTTCAGTGGGTTCTCATGGGCCCCAGGGTGGGAGGGACTGGCTGGGAGGGCCTGGGCTAGGGTGCCCCCACACTGTTGGGGGGGGGGGGCTAGGGTGCTTCCTTGGGCCAAGGCATCCTTGTAGCAGGGCCCATGCTCCAGTTGGGCTGGGGTGGCTGTCTTGACCCTTGTGGCTCTCATTTCTCCACATGTCCGCTGCCGGCCTCATGGCCTACCCTTTCCTCCACCCCCTTTTCCCCACAGCTCACCTCTTGCTTCTCCTGGCCTCATGACAGGGGGTGACATGGCTGTGCTGTCTGAGGCTGAGCTGAGGCACTTCCCTCAGACCAGGGACCCAGCCCAGGGCCGCAGTCCTCAGGACTCCAGCCTAGGGGGGGATGCTGAGGGCCTGGGGGCCACTTCCTCCTCACACCCATGGCCCACAACCAGGTAACAGTGCAGTAATACCATCCTGCTCTGAGTTTCCTTCCTGCCCAGAGGGCCAGGGTTGATGGAGGTCTCAGTGGGTGAGAGGAGGGGAGGTGAATGGGTCCCTGTCGCAGTGTGTGCTGTGAACAGGCATGCAGGCCGTGCTCAGGGTTCTGCTAACTGAGGACTAGAAAAACATGGCTCTCTGAGCTCAGCCTCTTGAGGAGGAAGGGGAGCCCTCCCCTCCACCCCAAGCAGAGGGGATGGTGCAGTTCCGCAGGCCCAGGACTCAGGCTGAGGGAAGGGAAGACACCTGGAGCTAGAGGGCCTGAGGTGGCCTGGAAGAAGGGTACAGTTTACGGTGACGATGCAGAGAGCTGGGGGTGCCCAAGTGAAGGACCTAGTGGCAGATGTGCAGGGTGGGGAGGAGACAGTTGGAGATTCTGGGTTGGGGGATGGAGGATAGTAGGGGGTAGGGGACAAAGTCAGAGGTGGCTTTTAGACTTTGCCCTAGGTAGTTGTTGATGATGTCTAACCAGAACAAAGCAGTGATTTTAGGAAGCTGAATCTGGCTGTGGAGGGAGAAGGGGGCTGTGACATGAGGCTTATCTAGGGGTCTGGTCCCCAGGGATGGATGGGAGTAGGGGAGGCAGCAGCAAGGGCTCCCTGATGGCTTTGGGGTGCTTGTTCTGCAGGCTGCATCTGGACCGGAACCAGCCTGGGGTGGTGGATGCCCATCCAGGCCAGCAGATCCGGTTGATTTGCCGTGCTGAGGGCTTCCCACCCCCAGCCATCGAGTGGCAGAGAGATGGGCAGCCCCTCTCTTCTCCCAGGTTTGTTCAGCTCTTCTCCTCACCCCACCCTGTGGGAGGCCACTGGGGGAGAGAGCTGCCAGGTGTCACTCCTCATCAGTCCTGAGCAGGACTTCTGGGGCTCCCGAGAGATAGGAGCTGCCAGGTGCAGGGCTCCTTGAGCAGACCAATATGTGGGTCTCTGGGCCTTTCCAGGGTGTGGTTAGTGGACAGAAGTAATAGACCAGCTAAGGGAGGAAATGCAGGCAGACACATTGCTGGCTGTAATCGTAATAGCTCACATTTATTGAGCCCATACTGAGTATGAGGCTTGTTCTCCATCGTACAATCTGCAGAAGAGCAACACTGAGGGAGGTGCTATTTCATCCCCGTTTTATACACACAAGCTTAACACCACACAGCTTCTAAGTGGCAGAACCAGGATTTGAGCCTACTAAATGAGTATACAGCAAAAACTAGAAACCCAAACCACAGTTATTTTGTATGAGAAAAACTGAAATGCTTTTATTGCCAGGCTTAAAAGCCAGGCATTTTCAAGTAAATGAGAGTGCCGGCAGCTGGAGGACCCTTTGGCCAGATCCCACTGAACAGCCGTTCCCCAGGAAAAGGAAGATGCTGCCCCTCTGTGCCCCTTGCTGGCCCCTTGGGCTGAAGCCCACTGACTATGTTTGGTCCCTAGACACCAGCTGCAACCTGATGGCTCTCTGGTTATCCGCCACGTAGCCGTGGAAGATGGTGGCTTCTATGCCTGTGTTGCTTTCAACGGGCAGGACCGAGACCAGCGATGGGTCCGGCTCAGAGTTCTGGGTAAGGTGGCAGTCCTGAGAGAAAGGGTGAGTGGGGCCAGTGGCCTTTGAGGTCAGGTGGCACAGGTGGGGCAGGATTGGCGTAGTGGCTGACAGTGTCTCCTCCTTGGGCCCAGGGGAGCTGACAATCACAGGGCTGCCCTCTACTGTGACAGTGCCGGAGGGTGACACAGCAAGGCTGCTGTGTGTGGTGGCAGGAGAAAATGTGAACATCAGATGGTCCAGGTAAGGCTCTATTCCAGGCAGGCCTGGTCCTCAGACCCTCATACCTGAGGTTGTACAGCCAAAACAGAGGTGGTCCACCTTTCTGCGGGAATGTTGCCATCATCACTGCCCCCAGCCCTCATTCGTAATTTTACCCCTGCCTCCAGGCCTGATGCCAGGGAGGGGGCTGTGGCACCCTCACCCCTACTCAATGAGGCCCCATAGGACTGTGCTCTCTTCTGTTGGTTGGGCTACAACAGGGCTCTCAACCTCAGCACTACCGACATTTTGGACCCCGTAATTTGTGGTTGTTGGGGTTGTCCTGTGTGTTGTAGGATGTTTAACAGCATCTAGGCCATCTACCCACTACATGTCAGTAGTACTCCCAAGTCATGACAATAGAAGATGTCTCCAGACATTGCCAAATGTTCCCTGGGTGGCAAAATCTCCCTTAGGGTTGAGAACCACTGGGCTACACTCAGCTTTGGGGACCTCAGTGGTCTTTTACCCCAGATCAGTTGGCCTTTCGTTCATTCATCAAACATCTTTTTGCCCTCTTCCTCCTTTCAATGGGTAGGACTAGGCTAGGCCCTGAGAATCCTGGGGTCATCTGAGCCCCCAGGGTACGCCCAGGCAGATACCCCAGTGTCCCATGAGCTCCAGACGAGGTTTGCCCTAAGTGCTGGCTGAGCACGGAGCAGTGAGGCTGCCTCTTGCCTGGGAGAATCAAGGAAGGGGTGGCCATTGAGGTGACGTTGGCTGTGCCTTGAAGGCTGAGGAGAGGGAAAGATGTTCTTGGTCAAGCTCAAAGGTGAGTATTTGAGAGGTGATCCAGGAACGGAAGGGGCCTGTACACTGGAGGGGAGAGGTGATGGGCCTGTGGAGGTCGGGTGCCTCTGGCATGGCCCTGGTGCCAGGGGAGGGCAGCGGGGAAGCTCTGGAGGCTTTCCAGCTGGTGCTCTCCGTCCAGCCTGCCCTGATCAGGTCCTGGCTCTGATTATCCCACCAGGCCTGTATCTTCAACTTGGCCTCTCCTGGATCTTTCCAGCGGCAAACGTGCTAAGGAGCCCTCTCTTCAAAACAAAACCAGCATAAAGAATACCCTTCTCTGAGGCTGTATTTCCCTGCAGACCCTGCCCTTCTGTGGGGCTCCCCTTCACAGCAGAGCTGCCTATGTTGGTTGTCTTCACCTGTTCACTCATGGCTCAGCCCTTGTGCTGGGGCATCACACTCACCTTCTGCTCCAGGGATACAGCCCTGGCCAAGGCCACCAACTACCTTCCTGTTCCTAACTGCTCCAGGCACATCTCTGTCCTCACCTGACCTGCAGCCTCTTCCAGCTCACCTCTTGCTCCTGAAATACTCCCCTCCCTTGGCTACAGGAAACTGCTGTCTTCTGGTGTTCTTCCTGCTTCTCTGGCTGCTGCTTCCGTTTTCCCGGCTGGCTCATCTTCTCACACCCGTCCCTTAAAGGCTGGTGTACCTCAAGCTCTGTCCTTGGATCTTGATTTGTCTCTAACTTCACCTTGGGCAATCTTGCAGACACACAGTTTCTGGGACCATCCAGTGCTGACACTCCCTGGGTCCAGATCTCAAATCTGACACCTCCTGGTATCTCACAGGCACCTCAAATTCAAATGGTGGAAAATAACCTCACCATTTACCCTCATCCCTGCCTGGATCTCCCCATGTTGGAGGGGCACCACCACTACCCAAGCTAGAACCCTCTGTCATCCTTGATTTCTGCTCCCTCACCTCTCACATCTGACCTTCACTTTAGTCCCTTTATCTTACTGCCTGTGTCATCTACCAGGAGTGTACTAGTGCAGCAGCCACTTACCTGGTCTCTGCTTTCAGGCTTGTCACCCCCACCCCCCACTGCAGGCAGTGATCCTTTCAAAGTGCAAATATCGTGTCAGTCCCTTCTAAGCTTACACCCTTCCATTACCCCCACGACCCAGTCCAAACGCTTGACCAGAGCCATGTACACTTCCTCCCTCCCTCCCTCCCTCCCTCTCCTTGCTCCAGCCATGGCCTTCCTTTAAGCTCCTGAGTCCCCATGTTCTCCCTCTCTGTTGGCCACCCGCTGCCTCCTCCTCAGCAGAGAAGCCTTCCCTAAACACCCGCACCCCTACCCTGTGCCCGGGAGGCAGGGAGTGCTTCTGTCGTTCATCCAGCACAGGGCCTGCTTACGGCTACTTTTAAGACTCTTGTTAATGAAAAGTGACAGTGGGATTCCTTCGTGGATAAGAGGCAAGTTTACAATAACTTAGCTCAGTTGGTGTGAGTTCACCTCACTTTTGAGTTATTTTGCTTTGTTAATGTTCTATCTTTTTGGTACCCTGTCCTGTCTCTTCCTTGAGGTGTGGGTCATTTGTCCACAGGGAGGTAGTTGGCCCTGGAATAGTCTTTGATTATCTCCTCCCTCTGTCTCCCAGGGCCTGAAGACTAGAGGCCCTGGACAGCTCTCCCAGCATCCTCTCCCCTCCAGGAATGGGCTGCCGGTATGGGCTGATGGCCACCGTGTCCACCAGTCCCCCGATGGCACACTGCTGATCCACAACCTGCGGGCCAGGGATGAGGGCTCCTACACGTGCAGTGCCTACCGTGGAAGCCAGGCAGTCAGCCGCAGTACCGAGGTGAAGGTGGTCCCGCCGGGTAAGAGGCCTACCACAGGCATTTGCTTGTTCTCAAGGGCTGGCTGTGTGCTGCAGAGTGTGGGAGAGCGTGGGCTCTGCAGCCCAAGGGACTCTTGTCCAAGTCCTGGCTCACTCTGCCAGTTATTGGTAGTGTGACTTGGGCAAGGGACTTAACCTTCCTGAACCTCACTCTCCTTATCTGTACAGTGGACCACTCTACCACCTGATAGAGTTGTAGTGAGGATGAAGGAAATAATGTGTCTCCTGGGCACCTGGTAATAGCTTAATAAATATCATTATTTAGACTTACTGATTTTATTTTGAGAAATACAATTGATAGGAATTTCATTATAATACTTAAGGCAGACAGAACATTAAAAATCTGTCCATTTTAATCAGGGTGGCAAAGAGTGGTTCTATGATTGAAAAGTGCCTGTACGGCCATTTGACCAAATGAGCTGGGATTATTATCACCATCTTACAAATGAGACAGATCCCCAGAGCTTAAGTGATGTTTCTCTAAGTCACACAGCAAATTAGTGGCCAAGTTGGGACTAGGACTCAGGTCTTTTGACTCCTCATATTTAATATTCTTTTCATTAAACTATTACACCTGTAATAGTTGTAATGCAGGCAGAACTTTACCTGCGTTCTTCACTAATTTGATATTTTAGCCAGATATTCTCCAGCTCTTGCTCTTTGAGTTATGTCATATTTCAACCAATCTAAATAGCATATTGTAAGATGTGTAATTTTCATACTACTAAGAAAAAATGCTGTCAATTAACACAATGCTAAGAGATCGTCAATTAAGATGCATTCCAATTTGAGAGGTGTTAAAATATGAAAATAAGTACATCTCAGAACTGATGAAATAGACTGTAGTTTAATGTTCAAACTCTTAAGAGCTCTGTGGTTCAAATAAGCCAGAGCGGAAGCGGGAGGGGGAGCTGACTATCTGAATGGCAGGGTGGGCTGAGCAGCTGGTTCTCTTGGGACCTGACACAGAACTGGGGAAGAGTGAGCCAGGCCCCCCGTGTGCTGGTCTGCCTGGATGGTCACAGCTATCAGGGCTGCAGTGCTGTACCAAGAGCACTGTTACACTTACAGGGGGGGGGGTGGGGAGTGCCGGGGGGAGGGGACGGCTGGCTATCTGCCTCCTGTCTGGCAGGCTGAGGGCGGGGACCAGCCAGTGCTAGAGGTTGAAGGGTCTGTGAGCTCCTTAGGACAGAAATTGGGACTTGAGTCCCCAGGGCCCAGCCCAGTGCATGGCATCACTAGTTGCTCAGATACTTGCTGACGGCGTGCACGTGTGCCTGACGGCATGACCCTGGCAAAAGCACCATAGCACAGGGGCTACTGTACACCTCTATCACATCTAGCATGTTGATCTCTTGTGTACATACTAACCATATTTACAAGACTTGAGACAAACCAGAATGCAGATTTACTGAGAAAGGGAGTGGTTAAGAGGACCCAGATGATTGTGTGATTAGCTATAGACGTATCTATGTGGGAAACCAAATTATAATCTGAAATTTGTTTGATGACAAAATCTGGTGAGGTTCCTGGTGATGTGTTGTCGGCTAAGCTGAAATGGTCTGATGTGACCTGCCTCCTGGACAGGCCACTATGGTCTCTCTCCCGCCCTCTGCTGGATGAGTGTTGCCAATCTTAGATAGATACCTTGGGGGCACCTTTCTTGACTAGAGGCTGTCTTCCTCTTCTCTTTAATTGTATTCATTCCATTGATCAGGCTGCAGATATCTGCTCTCACCTATTTATGCTATTTATTTTTTGTAGGGCTTCACTGCTTGAGGTTGCCTCACTTGGCCCTATTCATGGTTTGATGACATACTGAGGGGACTTGGGCTAGTCCTGGTGTAAAGGACATACTTCTACTGTGAGGACTTCTCAACCTTTTTGCCTAAAAGACTGGGGTGAGAAACAGAAAATACTGTAGGGATAAAACATAGGGCCCAGTCTCATTTTTCATCTGAGAAGGAAGGAGGCTAGGGAGCAAAAAAGCACTGTTAAGCACTCAAATTTTTTTTTTTTTTTTTAAAGATTTTATTTTTTCCCCTTTTTCTCCCCAAAGCCCCCCGGTACATAGTTGTATATTCTTTGTTGTGGGTCCTTTTTTTTTTTTAGTTGTGGCATGTGGGACGCTGCCTCAGCGTGGTCTGATGAGCAGTGCCATGTCCGCGCCCAGGATTCGAACCAACGAAACACTGGGCCGCCTGCAACGGAGCGCGCGAACTTAACCATTCGGCCACGGGGCCAGCCCCTTAAGCACTCAAATTTTAGCCATGGTTACTTTGTGCCCAAGGTACTATTATCATCTCCATTTCAGATGGGGAAACAGAGGCACAGAGAGCTTAAGTAACTTGCCCAAAGTCACCCAGTGATAAGTGGGAGAGCCAGGACTGTGCCCAGGCAGTCCGGCTCCAGATCTGTTGTGCTTAACAAGATGCTGAGAACCTCCTAACTCTGGGCCCGGGGCTGCAGAGGCTGAGATAAAGTTGATACTAAAATTACTGATTTTTTTAAACAATAGGCATAAATGGCTTGCTATTTATATGAATGTAGGAAGTTAGTACTCTTGTTATATTGATACATCAAAACTTTATAAAGTCATTTGCTGGTTAGGTATGGTGTTTTTGTTGTATTTTGGGAGGAAGCAAGGGGAGAGAGGGTGAAAATGACTTTCCCTAGCTCCATGACATCTGACTTTAGGGAAGATGCTACTCAGGTCCAAGTCAAGCTGATGTAAGACCCCTTCCCGAAAGAAAAGGGAAGCTAACTAGATAAGGCCATCTCAACTCTAAGATGAAGCAGCAGAAGGAAACTCTCATAGGGATTTATGAAACACAGAAGCTCCTAGTAAATTCAGGGTGAAGGGGGCGGGGAGACCCAGTGCTTTGTGCTCAGTATAGGATTAGAGCCATGGTTCACAAGGCTGTTTTCCTATCACCTTGCCTAATACTCATTGCTTTCTCTGGGGAAAGTAGAAAAATTGGAAGGATGGGGAACTAAGTGACTAAGATAAGCTGGGATTATTAAAGGTCAGAGGAAAGCAACAGTGAGAGAGAGAAGACAAGACAGCTCTTGCCAACTCAAAATTTTACTTAGGGCTGATCCTACTCTCCTTCCCAATCCAGAGGCCAAGGCAGCTGACATTCAGCTCTTCAAGTCTCAATAGTAAGGATAGGGAGTTAACTTCAAGAGAAGTTTAATTGTCCAGTCAGTCAGTATTTGTGAGTCTGCGATGGGCTGTACCCTGGGCAGCAGCTGCAAGAGAACGGAGGGACCACTGCATGCTAAAATGGGGTTGACAATGAGTGGAAGCTGTGATCCCACATGTAGTTGTACACACAGGTGTTAAAAGGTTACGGAGTAACTCCACCTTTTTTGGAGTCTGGCAGTTATAGTGCTGCTTTCCTTTTAAGGAAATGAAATGGTAGGTGAGCATTTTCTCTCTTACCACTTTCTCTCTCCCTGTCGTTTTGCAGCACTGGCCGCCCAGCCGAGGGACCCTAGCAGGGAGTGCATCGACCAGCCGGAGCTGGCCAACTGTGATTTGATCCTGCAGGCCCAGCTCTGTGGCAATGAATATTACTCCAGCTTCTGCTGTGCCAGCTGTTCCCGTTTCCAGCCTCATGCCCAGCCCATCTGGCAGCAGGGATGAAGGCTAGCTCCAGCTCCAATTCTGAAACAACTAGTAGGGCTGGGAAGAAGGCAAGATAGATTCTTGGTCACCCCTCTCTGGCTGTCAGAGAGAGTTATCTTCTGGAGACAATGGCCCTTTCACACACACCCAACCCCTACCCAGTGTTTGGCCACAGCAGCAGCAGCCTCTCTCTGTAGTCCCCAGCAGTGTTTGCATCTCTGACATAACCACAGGTGGCTGCTGAGTTGTCAAGAAGAGGAATCTGTTTGGATAAGGACACCCTATACTTTCTAACTTCCCTCTATAATTTCTGATACACAGGATCAGTTCACCATGTTTTAAAGCAAGCTACCAGGGTTCTCACTTCATTTAAAGCTGGATGGGGAGGTGTGTAATGCTTTCAAAGTTAACACGTATCTCATAGGGGAATACCGGCTCCTGCTGTGTCAGGGAAGTATTCTTTGACCTCAGATGAGATCTAGTTCTAGCAAACAGTGGTCCATTGCTCCAGTCTCTCTCACCGTTCTAGGAAGTATAGCAATCAGCTTCAAATCCCATGTGTGTGTACAGTTAAAAGCACGATGTTTGTCAAAGCTCTCAGCAAAGTGGAATGTAATGTAAGGCTCAGCATAGGGACTTGGGATGAAAGAGCAGCAGTTGTATTATTATCTCAGCAAGAAAGAACTGGAAAAACTCCTTACTGTCATCAGGAAGCTGCAGCCTGAAGCCCTCCTCCTGAGGCCGACATGCAGAACCTGGCTGTGAGGATCCTCTCAGACCTGTATTGAGCTGATGGGCCTGCTCTGTACAGTGACCAACGAGGAGCCTCTCCTCCTCAAGTAGGAATCTGTGAAGCAAAATGTTTGCTGCCAGATAAAAACCAAACTATTATTAAAAACAGCATCAGCAGGATGGGGGGACCAATGGAGGGAAGGGCAAATGTAATACCAGGGAAGTGGTTTCAGAAATGGTTTGTTGGAGGAAGTCGTTCTTCATCTCTCAGAACCTCCAACTCCTTGCTGTAAAATAAGAGGCCTGGATTCAATGAGCTTCTGAGTCCCTTTCCACTTGAACCTTCTACAAATTCTCCAGAGGGCTGGCTGGGCCTAGTAACAGCGGTTATTCTCGGACACAGGAAAAACAGGCATTACAGGGACTAAGGCTCTGAAAAGTGACTTTTATTACCAACACACTGGCTGGAAGAGAGAAAACTGCATCATGGGTGAGTGACACTTCTTGGTCCACCTCTCATTCAACAAAGGAAACATGGGCCAGGGGCAGAGATCTTTTTTTCTTTCCATTTTAAAAAGTTTTGAGGAGCATCCCATTTCATTTACCATGGCTGGTTTTGCTATAGAAATTGGAAAATAAGGGCCACTTTCTTGGACTCCTCAGCCCTTTAATTAAACCTCTATTTGGTCAATTGGTGACATGCTTTGGAAGGTAAGTTTGAGATTAGCTCTTCTTAGAACTCGTCACAGAATAGTGTGCTAAGGTTAGAGGTGAGAGTAAAACTCAATCTAGATCAGTGGCTCTCAACCCTCTTCTATATTGGGAGCTTTTAAACAACCTGGGGTTCCACTCCCCAGAGATTCTGATTTAACTGGTCTGGAGTATGTGCTGGGCATGAGGATTTTAAAAGCTCCTCAAGTGATTCTAACATGTATTCAAGGTTGAGAATCGCTGCTCTAGCCCCAGACTTCTCAGAATGTGAATGTTGTTGAAATGCAGCCTGATTACTAGGTCTGGGGTGGGGCTGAGATTCTGTCTCTCTAACCAGCTCCTAGGAGAAGTCCATGCTGCTGTTCCAGACTACACTTTGAGCAACAGGAATCTGATGTTAGAGATGTGCTTAGGGTCAACCAAAGCCTAAAGAATGAATACCAATATGAATTTTAAGAATATAACACTCCCAAAAAAAGACTTTCTAGCCACCAAACTAGAGATTTGCAGCAGCAGTAGACTGGAGAGAGAACAAGACCAAAAAGAACTAAAAAAATTACATTTGCTAATAAAGCAAAGGGGAAAGAACAGCCCTGCATGAGCGAAAGCTTCTACCACGAACATTTATTTTTGTTAAAGCAGATTATAAATTCTCATCAGTACAAATATATATAACTCACATTTGATTGTAAGGCCAACGTTCAAAAGTAAAAATGAGATGGGATCTCACGTGTTACCAGAGGTCAAGTGGCTGCAACTGGCAATGGGATGTTTGCTCACCACGGGGAGGGTGAAGGACACACAGACAGACACACACACAATAGCTAATAAAACCAGAATCTCCATCCCCACAAAACTTGTGGGGACAAAACTTAAAGGACAAACAAAACCCACCAAGACCCACATGACAAACCAACACAGTAACCTGCGTTCCTGTCTATGGATATGATTATGTCATTGTCACCTTAGTGTTAAAATAAAGGATTAACATAAGGAAACTGCAGCAATATATAAAAGAAAATACATAATCTCTATAGAGCATATTTAGATTGATTCCATTAAAATAATGACGTTAGAATTTCATTATAGGTTTAAAACCAGGAGAATACTGCTCTTTCATTTTCTTTATTTAAAACTACACCCTAGTGACTGTATTGGTCATAATCATGATTGTTGTTGCAAAGTGCTACTTACAATGAATGATACCACATAATTTGCTAGGGATCCCGTCTGCAACTTCCAGCCTTTCCTCTTTATCTTCAATAGGCATCAATGATAAAGCAATCTTATGTACAATTTCTTACAGCTAACCCTTTTACCTTTGGCAAGATTACTTACAACTCATACAACTTTTTAATATTGAGAACTATTTAAAATATTCTAAATGCATAAAAATAAAGATTTTTGGCTTTTTTGTATATATTTATAATATTCTTACTCAAAATGGAAGCTCAACTTAACCCCTAAAATATAGCTCTGCTGGGCAGCTGCCGATGAGCCCTCCTGGGAATTCTGGCAGTGCAGCCTGCCTCTCGTCCCAAGCCCAAGCACAGGCCACCCTGTTCTTGATCTCTAAGACAGGCCAGCACTGAGAGGAGGCAGGTGAATGGCCTGAAAAACAAAGGGAGATCATTTTGCTTCCTGTTGTGTTTTATATTCCAGTAAATGTGCTTTGAATACAGATTCCTGTTCAGATATGTCGCCTCTCTGTTGCCAGAGATTTGTAAGGGGCTGATGAGGGGAAAAGAGGGCAACATTTCTGTGACTTCTTTAACCTAACTGCAAGACAGCTCTTCTCTAGGAATGGTTTTCTCCAATTTTTTCACAATCAGCCCTCATTGCACTCTGTGCCTGGACTTGCTTCTTGGGGACCTTTGGGATTAGTGAAAAGTACACTGATGGGGAACACAAAGTCCCCTTTGCTCCTTTGACGTCCACCCCCTGCCCTTGCCTAAGTATGGACAAAATACATAAGCCATAGGGACTGCTTAAAGTTCAATTTCAAACGTCTTCTGTAAGTCACTGGAGAAAGGGTTGGTGGGAGAGGGGTTAGTACGCTGCTTGGACTTGCTTTCTAATGCAGCCCACTGGGCTTCGAAAGGATCCACCGGGCAGGTGCCTGCAGGAATCTCTGTGTGCTTGTCCCCTGAAGCCAACCTGCCATCATCTACACCATTGAAAGCGGCAGAACCGTTGAGGTGCTGAACAGGAGGCTTAAAGAAGGGACTGGCAGTAGCACTGCTTGTTTCATACTGAGGGAATGTCTGCTGCTTGACCAGGCTGGGAGACTGATGGGGGTGAGCAGCCTGAGGGTGGCCTGCAGTGCCAAACACGTTGGCTACCATCTGGGAGGGAGTGATGCCCACCACAGGCACATTAGGAGCTGGATAGGGCATCCCGTTGGCCACAGGATAGGACTGGGCAGGGACAAAGGCTGGCTGCAGGGGTGGGACCACACCCACTGGCACTGGCTGAGAGGTGAGGAATGCATTCCCTTGGAAAGGCGGTGCTGACTGGGAGATGGCAGTGGGTGGAGGAGGCTGGAGAACTGGCTGCAGAGGGGCAGCTGAGGCCTGGGGTTGCTGAGCCCGGACGCTCTTGGACACTTCTTCTAACCAGCGGTCGGCTTCAGAGGGAGTACGTCTGTGACCAGCCTGGAAGAGACCTGGAGAGGCAGCACCAGAAGATTGACCCCACTCAGTCCCTGGAATCAACAAAATGAAGAGACAAAAGAATCACAGTCATTAGGGGCTTCTTTTGTCACTTGATAACCTTGGTTATTTGAATGATCCTAATATGTGGAACAAGTCCCCCTAACTGGACATTTTGTGGTTTTGGTAGGTGAAAGGAAAGGCTCTATTACCAGCTGAGGAGGTTGTATAGTAGGACAAAGAGAATCTGTCAGACCACGCAGCTGTCTCAGCGACGCTAGAGAGCTGTCTAGATACAGCTCAACTGCATCAGACCAAGGCAGCTGGCAGGCATCAGAAACCATTCCCTGTGCCTGTTGCTCAACCATGGTACAAAAACCAGTTTGCACATATTCTGCAGGGCCTGAGGCGATTCACCTCCTGCTGTAGCAGAATGAAAAGAAAATAACCAGTGACTTGGTGCCATACTTGTGGCTCCTGCCTGGCTTCTAGATACATGTTGTCCTACTGGTGATCTGCCTTTATTACTACTTAAAATTTTTTGGTTTTATAGTTAATGTTCATTATAGAAAAACTAGAGAGTGCAGAAGAGCAAAAATAAAGTGCTTTTTGTAGCCCTTTTCATAGGCCTGCCATTGTAGGAGGAAGGGTCCCTTCTTCCTACAGGCATATCCATATATCTCCAAAGCCAGTGATGGACTCTCTCACGGTAGGGCCCAGGAATCTACACTTTATGAAAGCTCTATGGGTGGTTCTGTTCTATATTCCTAAGACCTATCAATCTAAACTTTTAGTTGCTCGCCTTCACTATCCCTTCTTAACAGTAGTTTATTTCCAGGAGGGAACCTACTTTTCTGAAAAAGACTCCTTTCTGGTTCCCAATCAGGTAAATGGCTGATTTTGAACCAGGGTCACTTATCTGATCCCAGAATCCTCACCACCATCTCTGGCCACCTTACCCGAACGTATGGCTGCAATTTCCTTGTTAGCAGCATCAGGGGCATGGGCCCAAGGGTTGGTTTCACGCACAGGCATTGCTACGGGTGCTAGAGCAGTATGGGCTGGCTTAGCAGCAAGCACATGGAAGGCTGAGTCAGTGCCATTAGCTACAATGGGAGCAGACAACATCAATGGAGTTAATTTGTGCAGGGTATACAGGCGACCCCTTGGTCCTGGGTCAGTCAGGCCAATGTGCAATACTGGTGGAACAGATAAGACAGAGAAGTTGGTGTTGGGATAACCAAGCCATCTTGCAATGGATACAAAAACCTTTTCGCAAAGAGAGAATTAGAGGTTGTAATTAAAATGGCTGTACTGATAAAGTCAAATGACTCTTCTAGGAAAATATGTGTATGGGGAGAGAGAGTAACAACTTTTCAAATTAACTTGAACAGAGCTGCTCCGTCTTACAAGTGGCAAAAATCTAACTATTCTATATGGCTTAGCCTTTGGAAAAATGATGTAAATAAAGCATTTCCCTCTTACATCACTTTTCTAAAAGATCAAATTACGCCAACAATAATAATGATTCCTGGGGAGGGCCCCGTGGTGTAGTGGTTAAGTTTGGTGTGCTCCGTTTCAGTGGTCTAGGTTCGTGGGTTTGGATCCTGGGCATGGACCTGCACCATTCGTTGTCCATGCTGAGGCAGTGACCCACATATAAAGTGGAAGAAGAATGGCACAGATGTTAGCTCAGGGCTAATCTTCCTCAGCAAAGAAAAAAAAATATATAAAATGATTCCTTATTATGTGCTAGGTGCTATGTTAATAGTACTTTAGTATGCATCATCTCATTTAATTCTCTCAAAAACCCCACAAGGCTGATATTAGCCCCATATTACTGATGAGAAATCAAACTTGGTATATGTTTTCATTTGCTTAATAAATTTGTAATTTGCTACAGAATTAATTTCCTCTCTATTTCTTGAAGATTTTTTTCCCCTCAGTAATATAATATCTCAAAGTACCTATCATTCTTTCCTTGTCTCTCTTTCTTAACTTCTCCTAACCCTTGCTCCTTTACTCCAGACAGCTATCCCATCAGCTTCTACTCCTGAGCCCAGCTCTCTACCATATTTAGTATGGAACAGACAAGCAGGCACCTCCCCCTGCCCTACGGTATAATCATTCCTTCTTTAGGACTGGGCAACCATGCTTATGGCATTGGTACTATTTACCCCAGGGCTTGTCTAAAAGACTAGCTCACCCATAGACTGGGAGCCCCTTAAAGGTAGGGAAAAGATTATGTTCTATTCAGTTTTGTAGACCTATTGCCTTATAAACAGGAATAGAGTCAGTAGAATATAATAGGTACTATATTCAGAAAGACCTGGGTTTTAAATCCTGGCTGTGCAATTTGAGCAATTTACTTAACCTCTCTGAGCCTCATTTCCCTTATCTGTAATACCTACCCCAAAGGGTTGTTGTGGGGACTAAATGAGATGAGAAAATGCATGAGTCCTTACCATGATGTGGCAGCACTGTGCTAAGTGCTCAATAAATTGTGCCTATTATTATTGGTATTATAAATATTTTTTAGATGAAATGAAAAGAAATTTTGTGTACATGACTATAAAGTTTTGTTTTGTTTTAAAAAAAGGAGACTCCCTGGAGAAAAAGCATTTAGTACCTTCCTCCAATAGGGGTGGGGTACTGTCTCCATAGCAAAACTTTTTCTGAGCTCTCTCTTGAAGAAATGGCAATTATAGGAGTTCAAATTCTAAAAGTCTGTAATTTAAGTTATATAAACTCTTTGCTGACCTCTGAGTCAATACCAACTGTTAACTCAGTATCTCTGAAAACAACTTTTAGTAACTCTTCAATGCCACAAAGCCAAATATTAGGACACTTGTTATCGAACATGAAATGAACTAAGGAGCCAAAAGAAGTGCCTTTTTCTCTATGAGCCTCCCGTGACAGGGTGGAGACTAGGTGAGACCAGGGCTTCTCAGCTTCGGCACTACTGATATTTTGGGCTGGGTAATTCTTTGTTGTGAGCATGGCTGTCCTGTGCACTGAAGGATGTTTAGTAGCATCCCTGGCTTCTACCCAAATGCCAGTAGCAGTCCCACAAACCCAAGTTGTAAAACTCAAAAATGTCTCCACACAATGAATGCCACATTTTCCCTGAGGGAGCAGAATCACCCTGGGGTTGAAAAGCACTGTGCTAAAGGAAGCCTAATGCTAGAACCAACTCACGACTGCTGCTTCTGGAGAACTGGCTGGAGCTCTGACCCGCAAGAATCAAGTGGCAAGTAAAGAAGTGGGTTGGGACTATAGAAGCTCCTAACAGAATGGTATGCAAGACAGGTAGGTACATGCAAAATGACGAAGACAGACATCTTAGGAAACAAGAAAGGAACAAAGCACAGACACACTGTCCAACAGGGAAATTAGTGAATCTGAGACATTATCAAACAGAGAAATTAAGGACTTACAGTTAGTGGTCAGCGTCAAAAAGTACAAAAAGTTTCAAAGAAAATAGCTAAGCAGGCTGAGATGAGAGGCACCAACCTTGAAAGGCAGGAGATTGTGGTGCCACAACTGTCACTGGTTTGGTCATTGGGGCGGATGAGAATGGATCCTCGGAGGGTGTGCTGAAGGCATTGGTGATCTGTGAGCACAGGGAGCTGATACTCTCTGCTTCCCCTTCTACCTCTGGCACTGCAAGACAAACAGAAAATGGCTCTAGACTGAAAACCTGAACAATCCTGAAATGGAACAGTATGACACAGGTGGCATTTTATATTGCATCTCTTATTTGTGGAAAGAAAAGTCTCAACTGTCAGGTGGGGCTATAAAAGCAGCTTCAAAAATTTACTGTACATTATTTCATTGGCTTTTCAGATGAGAAGATATAAAATGTCAACAATTCATGTACTGAGGTCTATCTTCCTCCCTTGCAAATCCTCAGATTTCTTGATTTCGTCTCCTGGTAGCACTGTTGAGAACTTCGTGTTCTCTTTTTGTGCCAAGATGTTTGGTTAGCTAGATCTTTCTGGAAGACATCTGCAACCTGTTTGTCTTCCAGCTGGTTCCCAAGGCTGTGATCTGAGTTAAGTTCTGGAGCCATGTGGTAACTCTATCAGAAAATGGGTTAAAGTCAGGGGCACTAGTGGATGCTTAGTCCTTTTCTCTGTAATAAGCTATGACAATATCATCACTCTCATTTTTCTCCAAAGTACCAAATATATGAACTGTGATAACATGAAAAAGTGAACTGAGGTCCAGGACTCTAGAGGCTTTGTTCTTAGTATTGCCTCTGAGATACTTCTGTGTCACCGAGGAAGCTAATTATGTGTGCTGAACCTTTGTTTGCTCAACTGTGAAAAGAGAATAATAGTTTTTGCTTCCCATCTGCTCCAAAGGGAGACAGAAAACAAGGTACTTGAAGCATCTGGAGTTTCACTTTTTACAAGAGTTGAGAGCTGGAAAGACACTCAGTAATCATCTAGTCCAACTGTTCTTTTGGCCTAGTTTCATCCATCAAAAAAAGAATGTAACTCTGTACTTTTATACCACCATGAGTGGGAGTGCCCTATTGAGACAGAGCTTCCTCATATTCTGTTATAGCACTGGCTTGACATGCCTGAGTGAAGTAAACCAGAGCCCAATAAAAGCATTGACCAGATCAGACACTTCAGCTCCAGATCTTATGATGAGGATAGAGATACCAGGGCTACCTCAGCTGTACAGAGGCCACACAAAGGCCTGTGTGGCAGTTCTGAAAAGTAACGAATATGTGTGAGCAAGCCCACTGTCTCTGATGAACAACAGATCTTAGATTTATACAGGAGACCCGTTTAGAGTTTCCTCCCTATGGAGCCAACCAGCCACAAGGACAATGAGTACTTATCCATTTCTTCTGGTACATCTGACAGTATTCCTATTTAACTGAATGTGTTTCCAAGGACTTTTTAGTTAATTCCCTGCTGGGTCCCAAATGACAGAATAAGAATGGAAACGTGAGACTCTTGATATTTGGAAGCAGGCTGGTTGAGAGATAGTATACTTCCATCAGGACAAACCATGAACCTTGTAGCTCAGGCCAGGAATTCCCATCATGGCTCCGTTACCTATTTGTTGAAGAGAAATGAATGATTCACGTCCCTCTCCATGAACCTTAGTTTTCTCCCACTGGGAAATGATATAAGATATAGATAACCATGGACCAGCTTCAGAGAGAGGGGAGGCAAGTTTGATGGGATTAGTGTCTCCATGGGAAGTGATGATAATGCTTCAGTGCTAGAGCACCCAGTGAGTCATGTGGATGCTGCATTACCTGCATTTTTTATGGGGAAATCAGTCTTCCTCTGCATGGTGGAAGGCAACTCATTGATGCGCAGGGATAGTTGGCGTTTAAAGGGTGACATCTTCTGGCTAAGAGCAGGAAATCCTCGGAAAGAGCCTTGGCGAGCAAGTTGCTCAATCGGTGCATGCCGACGTGGGATGGCATGAGGATTGTTCATCTCCAGAGAAGCAGTGGCATCCGAAGTGGGAGAGGTGGGAGAGGACGGGGATGGGACAGTGTTGCCAGGGGCCACTGATGAACCAACTGTCTTATCTGTTTCAGCTCAAGAAAGTCAAAAGAAAGAGGACTTTAGCAATGTCTTCAAATAATTTGAACTTATATACCTAAGGAACTCAAAACTCCTCCTAGGTCATTCTGATTGTGATAAATCTCTACCCCCTCCCCTCACAATCCTCTGTAGGTGTCAGGACTCAAGCAACTTTGGCAGTTGCTGTGTGTGGCAAAGAGTATTATTTGGCGGTATTAAAGAATATGCTTAGAGTCTGAAAATCACTGAAGCATGCTAAATAATAGTTATATATATTACATTTTCTAATAAAAAAATAAAAATAGCATGGAGTTTTTTATTCTTTGGTATCCTAGCACAAATGTTTATAAGAAATGAAAAAAATCATAATAATTTAATTTCAAATAAAAACATATATTAGGGCCTGCCCCATAGCCGAGTGGTTAAGTTCACGTGCTCTGTTTTGGCGGTCTGGAGTTTGTCAGTTCAGATCCTGGGTGCAGACCTATGTACCGCTCATCAAGCCATGCTGTGGCGGCATCCCACATGGAAGAACTAGAATGACCTGCAACTAGGATATAGAGCTAGGCAGTGGGGCTTTGGGTAGGAGAAAGAAAAAAAAAGGAAGACTGGCAACAGATGTTAGCTCAGGGTCAATCTTCCTCACTCCCCCCCCCCCCCCCCCCCCCCCCCCCCCCCCAAAAAACACAAAAACCAAAAACCACCCACACAAAAACAACATATATCTTCTTTTGGCTTAAGAATTACAGCTGTTTGGGTCATTATTAGATTAATGATCTAGGTAAAATGGCTACTTTAAAACTAAAAGAATAGAGTAAAAGATTAGAAAAAATATATTAATGTATATTTAAACTGAACTGTTTAATTCCACAGTATTGTTGTCTTCAACCCTAGCTATCCACAAGAATGCAAAGCATTTTCCCCAAACTCTATCACTTAGCTCTAAAATACACCCAAGCCAACTTTAGACAATAGGCTCTAGAGTAACCTGAATTCTTGTGCAGGCATTTCTGTTATGCTGCCACACCTGAAAAAACTCACATTCTGCAAAATCACACATTAAAATTAACAGGGCTACGGAAAAAGAGGGGCTAGCTTCTCAAAATCTATGGACATTTTTTTTACTTAAGCACGAAAAAACAGTAATAGTCTAATAAGAACAGTATCACTGTGAAATCTCTGCCTGCATTTGCACCCAGCATCACTGTCAGTTGATCCTTTGCAGCCTAAACCTGGGACTTGTACTTCTCCCTTCAAGACGTAGGTCCTTGGTAGTATTTGCTTCTCACAGAGATCAGAAGCCTCAGAATTAAAAATCCGTTCCAGGATGCAGACTTTCCCAATTTTGTTTTTAAACACAAGGAGTAATGTCTTTGCAACTTCTTCAACCTCACTCTCACCTTCTCCAGATAGTTTAATGTATGGAAAGAGTAAACACCTTTTTCTTTTTAAGAGAATTTAACATCTTTTCTTTTAAAGATTGGCACCTGAGCTAACATCTGTTTCCAATCTTTTGTTTTTCCCCTTCTTCTTCTCCCCAAAGCCCACCAGTACACAGTTGTATATTCTAGCTGTAGGTCCTTCTGGTTCTGCTTGTGGGATGTCACTTCAATATGGCTTGATGAACGGTGCCATGTCTGTGCCCAGGATCTGAACCGCCGAAACCCTGGACCGCTGAAGTGGAGTGTGCGAACTTAACCACTCGGCCATGGGGTGGGCCCCAGAGTAAATACTTTTGAAGCCACTAAACTAGCCACTCTAAAGGAAAGGACTTTGCTTAGATTTTCAGGTTTGTTCTTAAGGTCTTCATATATTGCTAAGAGTTCTCTTTGTGAGAAAGCTTGTGCTTGATAGCTTCCAAATATTAACTTGTTAAGAAAAACTGCTGAAGTAAACATACAGTGTAACAGAACAGATTGTACCTTTCTTGGCATCTTGGATTTGTTTCATAATCTCCTCTCTTTCTGCTTGCTCGGTAGCTGTTGTGACACGGAATGATCCTTCTCTGGTAAAAGTGGTTCGACTGGCATCAAAAGTAGCAGTCACTCCACATTCCTTCTCCCGCTTCTGCTTACGTTCTAGACAGGCCGCAAAAGCACAGCCTACTGCATGGCTCAATCTTTCACCCTGTACATAGCAGGAGGTTTGAAGAACTTTTTTAGAGTTACAGTACCAACAATTACAAATTAGCTTGGACCACAAATACGTCTGTTTTTAAACAAGGCAAAATGTTGGGAATTCCAGCTTAAAATCAGATTTTAATATATTAATATGCCAAATTAATTTATGTGAATAAATTACCTTAGGTAATACTTATAATACTTTACTGTAGCAGGCACTGGGTAAAGTGACCCTCAGCAACCTGTGCCTTTGTGAGCCGCCACTAAGACCTCCTTATCAGTTAGGCTCCCTCTGTCACTCACATTAGCTCTAGCTACCAGCCTAGAAGACACTGCTCAAGGTGCTAAGCCCTAACTCTTGACATGCAAACCTGTATTTGCTGTTTAGGGGAACATTTACCAAGCATTTCTAAGAAACCACTAGAAAGGCAGGGCAAATTTCAGGAACTTAAAGACAACATCAACATGTCTAGGAACAAAAGGAGCAAACTTTAAACTTTGGATAAATAAATACGACTCCACCAATGAGAAGGGATGAGGGCAAAGGAAAGTTTCACTTTCTCAGTCTCCCCTTTCTGAATGCTCCCTTGACCCCAGTGCTCCTCCCCTTTCTAGGCCTTCAGTGCTTTCAGGCTTTCCCCCATACATTCCCTATCTTCTAGCTGTACTCTAACTCCAGGTCTACCTCCCAACCACAAACAGGCAAAAGTTAAAGCATGCTTTCATCCACACTCTCTACTTATAAAGGAATCAAAAGATAGAACTGATTTGTGTGTGGGATGAGAGGGAGGCTTATATAAACTAAATATTGTTTTAACGATACAGTAGATTACCTAGAGTAAATTTAATAAATTCAATGGATTATTTTTACCAGAGTTATCTGTATTTTAAACCATATCCGTAATTGTGGAATAAAAAAGTTAGAGATGATATAATAATTGTTGGCACCATTAATAGTGAGAAGAGATATTTGAGAACAGGGAGCACTTTGTGGAGTTTTCAAAATCACACCACATAGGCAGCCGATCCAACATATGGCTCTGAGCAAGTAATTTCACTGGGCTTTATATGCCAATATTAGATATCATAAGGAGAGGTAATTCTGAAATGCTTTTTGTCCCTAAGATTTCACATGACCGCTTATCTGAAGACTGATAGACTTACTCTTTATAAATCCACATGAGTTTCCCTCTAATTTCTTAGTAGGATAATATAAGGCTAGTCATTGAAGCATGAAATACGAGAAAGTACCGAAAGAATCTTAGAACCATTTGCATTTGAACATAGCTCTATTACAAGGACAGAGCTATAGGCCAAGGAAGCTTATTATTTCTCCTAGGCCTAGGGCAGAACTTTTTGAAGACAGACCCCTTAAGCCCTACTCCAGACCCACTGAAGGAAAAACTTGGGGGTGGGGGGGAGCAATCTATTTCAACAAGTCCTTCAGTGATTCTGATGTAGGAGAACATTGGCCTGGGAGATTCAAACAGCCTGAAGGGCGATAATTTGACAATAAAACAATTTTAAAATTAATATAGGGGAACTCTTGAACTCTGGATTTTTTGAGTGTAGTGACAGCAAAATACACTGTTTTGTGGCTTAGCATCTGAAAGACAGAGGAAGAAAGCATAGTTTAGTTACTTCAATTCCTTCTCAAAGCACTTCTATCAAACCAAGGAGGAACAGCTTTAACACTATTAGCCACCATTTTTGGAGCAGTCACCACAGGCCAGACCCTATGCTAACAGTGCTTATATTCATTATCTAATTTAGTCTTCACAGCTGTTATCTCCATCTTATAGAAGTGGATACTAAGACTTAGAAAATATTAAGTAACTTGCCCCAAATCCCACAGCTAGCAAGAATCAGAATCAGGACTGGAACTTAGATCTGATTCAGAGCTATTTATACCACTGTCTCCAAGAGCTTTAAAAAAAAACCTTTTTGTCAATTTTAGAGTAGGGCCACCACTTCCCTTCCAGGTTAAACCTTGGCAAGAGTTTATTGAGTTATAGCCTTCAGGAATATATTGCCGCCTTCTGTCTGGACTTTTAAAAATTCAGAAATTACACTCTCAATGCTATACTACAGTTGAGATCATCATGATCTAAGAGACTTGTCTTTCATGTCAATTTTGGGTAATTTATGTGAAGGATAATAGATTATTCTCTATTTTTAAACAAAACCAAAAAATGTTTCTATGTAACAATTTCTAGCATAGTTTATTGTACCATAATTTAGTACTTCTATTTTTTAATTCATTGAAAACATACTTCAACTCAGTTCTTTCATTTGTAGTAAAATCTCTTTGCAAATAAATTTATAAGCACCTTTCAAATGCTATTATCTTCTACCTAGATGTATTAGCAAACAAACACACGTAAGAATCTTGAAAATAGCTCTAATAATGAAAAGTTTCAAATAAAGTTTAGCAGCCACCATCACCAGAGTACTTTTACTTTCCTTTAATGATCTTGGATGTCAGGCCATCACCTTGCTCTGTGAGTTGCTGGGTCACACCAAGAGTGTGAACAACTTGAACAGAAGGAGTGAAATCAAGCTAGTTTAGGCACTTTCAAGTGCTGAAACAACAGGCACTTGTTAAAAATGTAGTGGAAACTGCTTGGCTGAGCCAACCCGGAAGGAGCCTGGCTAACTGAGGCTAGTCATGAAGAAATCCACACTGTTGGACTCACTGTGTCCTTGACAGCCATGAAGCAATGACAGATCCAGCGCCGAGTGGTGCCATCACGACATATGTAAGAGAAGGCTCTATCAAAGTTCCTATCTGGGGCACAGAAAGACACTTTTTCTATTGTCTGGTCAACTATGAGGTCCTAGGAAAGGGAAGCACAAAGGAATAGAGGACTTATGAGGTTATTCAAGCTTCTCAGAAGAAACACAGGATGTTCATTTCACAATACAGAATCCCTACATCTGATGCATCCAGGCTATGGAAGAGCTAGATCTGAGGCCAGCAGTGTGAATACTAAGAATTTGACCTAGGAGAGATCCCAGGAGGTACTCTGCCCAAATGCCTCCCTCATCTCATCTTTCTCTCCTAAACCAAATGCTTGCTGATTCTAGTTTTATCATGGTAGATTCCATGTTCAATTTGACAATACATGTAAATCAATATATTTAATCTAATTTCCATATAACATATTGAATAATATCATTCCCAGAACAGTTCTATGTACTTATTAATTTATTGATCATTTAATTTTGAGCATGACTTTCTCTGTTTATATACTTGCTAAATGGCATAGTATATACACAGTATAAACATTACATAAAATTTTTTAAAAAATCTGGAGGCTCCGAGGCTCTTCTGTGTGAGAGTCTCATGGCTTAGAATCCCTAGATGCTGAGGTGGGGCTGTGAGTGTTAAAACATACATCAAACAAAATGGTTTTTTTTTTTTAAAAAGATTTTATTTTTTTCCTTTTTCTCCCCAAAGTCCCCCGGTACGTAGTTGTATATTCTTAGTTGTGGGTCCTTCTAGTTGTGGCATGTGGGACACTGCCTCAGCGTGGTTTGATGAGCAGTGCCACGTCCGCGCCCAGGATTCGAACCGACGAAACACTGGGCCACCTGCAGTGGAGCACGTGAACTTAACCACTCGGCCATGGCGCCAGCCCCCAAAATGGTTTTTATAAAGCATCATATGAGAATTCCTGTTGCTCCACAAACTTGCCAGTAAACTTTTTAAAATATTGAAATTCTGGTGGTTCATTATGATTTTATTTTGCGTAACCTTGATCACCATGAATTTCCTCTTTAGCAAAGTGAGTTTTCAAGTCTTTTGAATTGTCTGTCATTTTTCTTATTGAGATGTAGGAGCTCTTTATATATTAAAAATATAAACCCTTTATATATTATACACATTGCAAAATTACTTTTCCACTCATGTTGGGTCAAAGGGTGACAAGCCACTAATTACTATCATCACTCAATGTGGAAGGACTAAACTAATTAATGCCAGTGCTATAAGTAGCCACTAGGGGGCAACATCACTTTCTAACTATTTTATAAAACAAAAACAGCCTCCATGCACAACAAATTTCATCCAAAACATTAATGAAAACTACACAAATTCTTGAAAATAAGCTAATTAAAATGACCCTTGTTTCCAATAGTAATAAATAAGCTAATTAAAATGACCCTTGTTTCCAACAGTAATTTACATTTAAGACTACCACTTCTCTTGAGCCTGAAAAAAAGCCTTACATGTAAGGTCAAAAGAACAAAAATGCAGCTATATTAAATCACTTAAAATGTATCAGCCAAGTTATCCATCAACACTGCTCTTTACCTGCCAGACTTTCTCCTCCTTCCAGTGACATCTGAGTTTTTTTTTGAAAAATTCCCTTCTTGTTAAAATTTCTCCAGACTTTAGGTCTCTTAGGACATTTTAATTAATAATTAAATGTATTTATCTAATGCCTTATGCTCTCTAAGGACAGAGTCTATGTCTCTATTTTTATTTAGGCATGTAGGGTCACTTTCTTTCAAATGCCAAATGCTACCTATGATTTGAGATATTGTGTAGATTTTAGGTAAATGTTAACCAAAATGAGTCATTTATTAGTCTTTAAGACTTCACTTAAATTGGGTTTTCAGTTAAATAGCATGTTAATTAGTTCAAATATCACTTTCTAGAAATACAGTGTTTTATTAAGGAACAAGAAGAAATTTCAGATGTGGTCCATCATCCTCTTTTTCTTTTTAAATTTTTAACTGTGGTAAAAGGTCCATCATGGTTTACATCAAATTTGTGTGGGTAAACATTTTTTTTTTAAATGTGTAATAACAAAAACAGAACTCAGATCTTAACATTATGTTAAGTGCAAATGCTTAGTAGGCTAAACATAATGTGTCATAGTGCAGGAAACTGTTGAGAAAACTCTGTTTGATTTTTCATAAGGTAAATGAGTAACTAAATCGGTTTCCTGAACATTAACTAGTCTCTCAGAAAACTGCACTTTGGACAAAGTAGAAGGATATACAGCGACTACAACAGCTTAATGGCATTATATTTGACCACTGGGGATAAAAAAACCCATATGAGCAGTAACATTTAAGCTTATAAAAATTTTACCTTAGTTTTTTCATCCACAACTCTGAGTCCGTCTGCTGATACCCATAGGACTGCCTTCACTGCTTTCTTTCCAGTCTTTTAAGAGAAATCAAAAAGGAAGAGGGGGAGACACATATATATAAAATATTAAAAAAAGTCATCTTCCTTAGAAAACACTGACTACTTCTGCCTTCCAAAAGTCACAAGTACAGATGGAGTCCAAGTTCAGGAGGGGTGCCCAAAGCCAGATACTCAAACCAAACTGCAGAAACATTCAGGAAGAAACAAGCCAAAGCCATTATTTTAGAAACACAATGCAAAACAATAAGATAAAATTAAGTAAAGGAGAAGGGACAGATGGAATCAAAACCAAGATATCACATTCCATAACGGGCAAAGAATTCATAACTAGATTCTTCGCCCGTTTGAAAAATCAACCAAGAAAACCAAGAGTCAGATAAATTTAAATACATAAGGAGTTACACCACAAGTAGCTTCTACGAGTGTATTTAGAGTAGAAAGTGATACATAAGTCTAAATTGAGACGCTGACCATTCTACTATCCTTTGACCTCAATATGTTTAGCAGGACCCTTGGCTACCTGAAATTTTCATGTGAAAAATCCAAGAAGTCTTCATTACTCTATTAACAATCTTTAAAAACCATTATTTCTTCTCTCAGGATTAACACAGAACTGATTTAGTTTTTAATTTGACATTAAATGCACGGAGACATTTTGGGGACATAGGAGGATTAAAAAATTGTTGAAAATATATTGTTGTTATAACATGAATTCTTTTTTACTGGCTGAGAAAAGACTTCTTTTGGCACAGAAGGATCATGGGAGAACAAGCTGACGTATGACTTCTCCTGTGACGGAATGAAAATAGGACAGTGGGAGTTTGTAATAGTAATTTAACCGCTTCCTTTCTTTTAACCGCTCCAAGGATACAAACAATATAAAACAGAAGCAAAGTGAAGGCTGAGAACAGGTATCAGAACATCATAAAAAACAGATCAAAGGGAATCTGGTACTAAAGGTTGGAACAGCAGTCTCTAAAGGGACAAAGGATATAGAAATGTCTACTGTTCTCCTCTGGATGTGTCCAAGCCCAGCACTCCTTGATATAGAAGGCGTGGACTTATTTAATAAACTGTGCAATGCACTCCAGGCTCATCATCTCCACCACCATAGATCTGATGAGAGCCTATTATGTGTCGGGCAGTGGAAATACTTGAAGAGCTCACAGACCATTGAAAGGTGACACTGAGCTAAATAAAAAATAAATAATACAGTACTAAGTGCTATAGTAGGCTGAAAACAATGTATAATGATGTTAGAAGGGAGGCATAGTCAAGTCTATTTGTGGAATTGGGGAAGGTTATTCAAAAGAGAAGATTGAACTGAGTACTGAAATAATTTTTCTAGATGCCCCAGGTTGGGTAGGGAGGCAGGGAAGCGACAGAGGTAGTGGACATGCCAGGCAGAAGAAATAGCAGTACAGGACGTGGGAGAAAACAACATGGCAAGTCAGGACTCCATAAATATTTCAGTATGGCCTGAAAGTAGGATGGGTGAGCAGAGTGCAGTGGGAGATAAAGCGTAGGGAAGGCCAAGCCGTGGAGGGCCTTGTATGCCTGCTAAAGAATTCTATCTTAATTCTATGTTAATTGAGCACTCTTGGTTGAGATAGGGATGGAAATGAGAAAGTTCTAAGTGGTAAGTGTAAGGGAGAAGTTGAGGATTCCTACCCTGGCTTGGGTAACTGGGTGGGTACCACAAACTAAGAGAACAGAAGAGATGCAAAAACAAGTTTGAGAGGGGAAGAATAGGATTTCAGTTTTAGATGTGCAAAATTTGAGATGTCTGTGTAACATTCAAGCAGAAATGTCCAACAGGCAACTGATACATAGGTCTGAAACTCAGTAGAAAATTCTAAGATAGAATTTTAGATCTGGGAGACATCAATCATGAGAGTAATAAGAGGGCCCAGGACAGGAGAGAATATCAATAATTAAAGAATTGGGAGAAGATGAGCAAATCCTTGAAATACTAGAAAAGGAACAGCCAGAGGGACAGGAGAATGGGAAGAGATTAGGGTCACTTACTCAGAAACTAAGTAAGAAGGGTTTCAAGTACTGGGTGGTTCAAAATGTCAAATGTTGCAGTGTGATTAAGTAAGGAAAGATGTGAAAAGTGTCCATTGGATTTAGCAATGAGGAAGACACGGTAGGGTGACAGAGGTTGTGATAGTTAAATTTATGTGTCAAATTTGCTACACTATGGTTGTCCAGTTGTTTGGTCAAACACTAGTCTAGGTGTTGCTCTGAAGGTATTTTGTAGATGTGGTTAACATTTACAATCAATTGACTTTAGGTAAAGGAGATTATCCTTGATAACATGGGTGGGCTCCATCCAATCAGGTGAAGGGTTTACCCAAGGGTTACCCCAGCCTTAACAAGTTTCCCTGGAGAAGAAATTCTGCCTCAAGTCTGTTACACAGAAATTCTGTCGGAGTTTTCAGCTTGCTGACCTACCCTACAGATTTCAGAATTACCAGCCTCCACAAGTGTATAAGCCAATTCTTAAAATAAATCCCCTTCTCTCTCTATACATGTGTAGAAATAGATAAGAGAGAAACAGATGGCCCTCTCAGCTTCCATTTCTTCATTTGTGAAGTATCTGTAGGGTTGGTAAAAGGATCAGAGATAGCACAGTACCTGGAACCTAGGGTAATTAATAATTAGCAGCCATTTATCATCATTATATTATTAATAAACTTTAAAAATCTTCTCCCAACAGTAAAACTTCTTGAAAGAATGATACACACTTTCAACAACAACAACAGATCATGCTTATATGCTGAATGCGAAAAGCCAGTGGGAAGATGGAGACTGAAGGCCCAAGAAAAAGAGAAGAGTAATTTTAAGACCAAAGTCCTCCAGGAGGCAGGATGGGATGGGCTAGACTACAGGTTTTAGACAGGAAGAGGGAGGTTCTTTCCTTGAAATGGAGGGATGGAAGCTGAGTAGAAATGAAGACAGACTTGTAAAGGAGGGAGTGGCAAGTTGCGGAAGTTCACTCTGGAGAGCCACAAACTTCTGTGAAGATGAGATTACCTGCTTTACTTTGCTGGGGGGAGGAAGGCAGACAGGCAGAGTAAGACTGTAAAGATTTAGAATAGCAGTATAGGGGCAGTACAGCATACTGGCTCAGAGCACAAACTCTGGAACGAGGCTGTTGTCCAGGTTTGAATTCTGGTTCTGCCACTTACTAGTATGACCAAGGGCAAATTACTTAACTTCTCTATGCTTCAACTTCCACACCTGCATAATGATGTTAATAATCTCATCCACCTCATGGGATTATTGTAAGCATTAAATGAATTAATATATGTAAAAGGTTTAAAACTAGGGAGGGTTATATAATTCACTGTCCAAACTGGGACCCCTCTGAAAGTGAAAAGGGGAACTACTGAAACCCGGAAACAGGTGTTATACTGGGGCATACTGGGGCTGTTCCAGGCAAACTGGGACAATAGTCACCTGACCACCAACAGTAACTGCCCATATTTACCCAACACTTATGCAGCATTTAGTATTTTGCTGGAAGGTAAGCCCCGTGAGGGCAGGGTTTTTTCCATTTATATTGTAAACTGCTGTATCATCAGAGCTTAGAACAATGTTTAGCACAGAGTAGGAGTTTAAGAAATATTTGTTGAAGGAATAAATTTGCTAAATATCTGCTGTAGAGAATAGGAGACAGCTGATCAGTGACACAGAAGACCACCAAATAGCACTAAAAATCCTGTGTATGAAATTTAAATGCGCAGTTTTATCAGTCTGCTCCCTGTGCAATAGTAGCCTGCAGTATTCAGCGTCTGAGGCAACAGACAGGACCACTGCAAGGTTGGGAGGTTGAAGGTGGGAAAAAGAAAAGGTGATTTTAGAAAGGGACCATTCTGGGGCTGGCCCCGTGGCCCAGTGGTTAAAGTTCATGCGCTCCGCTTCAATGGCTCAGGGTTTCGCCGGTTCGGATCCTAGGTGCGGACATGGCACCACTTGTCAGGCCACGTTGAGGTGGTGTCCCACATGCCACAACTAGGAGGACTCACAACTGAAAATACACAACTATGTGCTGGGAGGATTTGGGGAGAAAAAATTTTAAAAAGCAGGAAAAAACACTTATAATAAAAAGAAAGGGACCATTCTCCCATTTAGTCTTCTTACCATATAGAGGGAAATACAGCATTTTCTTGGCCCAATTATACTGTTATGAAAACATCTCTGCTTTTTGAGGTATGTCTTTACAATAATTTTTATGGTGTTATATTAATATATCAGTGAGGCACTGTGTTTGTCATATTTCATGGCCTGTGATCTCTCTAAATAAGGAAAAAAAACAATATGATAATATGAATTCTTCTTGTATTTATTCATACATTAGGTGCTGGTTCCTGGATGTCACTATAGTTTGCCACAGTACAGTTATTTCAGTCAGGTACTGAGACATAACCCTCACAGATGCCTGTAGCTGAAATTAAGTGCAGACTTCCTCTCACAAATTCTCCAGTAGGAATGCTTCTCTACCATTTGTGAACTTTAGCGTCTTTCTTTCTGATAATATAAACTAAGATTCCTAAGCAATTTTTAGAAAATGATAAAAGTCATAGAGAGAAGATGAAAGTTTTTGCTTTTGTTTACCCTAAAACAGTCTACTTAAGCCAATACCCTAGGAGATAAGGTCAAAGTTAGCTAACCAAAGGACAAAAAGAAAACAAAGACAACCCAGAGTAAGAATGAAATGTAGAATTTACATACGTCTTAGTGCCACAAACATCCCTTTTAAAAAAAAAGACTACATAACACTTCAGAAACTAATAAAAATGTGGTAGTGGTAACGCAGATGTGAGACATTAAGAACTATTTCATCACTACTGTTCCAATACTTTCTATTTCAACAATAATTTCCAGGTTATAGGCAGAATTGACACTGACTAGTGTCTGTGTATGAAAAACAGTTTAACAACAAAGAAAAAAATCACTTATTCTTCAAGGGAAAAAAATGGGTCTAACATGGACAAAACTTCCGTAAC